TGTCTAAATGAACAGATTCAACAGGTCACAGACTGTCTGGAGCTGGACCAGGGCAGATGAATGTTTAGCAAAGAAGAACATACAGTTATTTAGAAATCTACCAACTCTCTGTCTCCATTTATATGAATATGTATTCATGCACAAGGTGATCAGTGATAGGAAAATGTTAAGTTCATCATTCCCTCTTCTATGCACCAGTCTCCTCAACCAGATGTGCAAACAGTTCCTTTGTCTTCAAACTTCAAATGTGTGGGGCTTTTTATCTATTTATTTTTTATGATAATAAGCAAACTGAATATTCGTAAACTTGCATCTGTGATAATGCTGTTGTTTTCCGTTTCCTCTAAAATCCATATTCAGGTGAATCAAAGTACCTCTGCAACACATGTGGAGCCACTTTCCACCGAGCCTCTGCTCTGAGCAAACACCTGAAGAAGCACCAGCCCAAACCTGACGTCCGACCGTTCGCTTGTCCTCAGTGAGTATCTCTTCATTATCATCATCATTATCATCATCATCACCATCACATAGCAGAGGTGAGATCTAAACGCATTCTGACTCGTATCGTCTCGTCTCCTCCGCAGCTGTGATAAGAGGTTTTACGAAGCGAAAGATCTCCAGCAGCACATGAACAAACACATGGGTCTGAAGCCTTTCCAGTGTCAGGTGTGTGGGAAGTGCTACAGCTGGAAGAAGGACTGGTACTCCCACGTCAAGTCGCACAGCGTGGCTGAGCCCTTCAAGTAAGTCTGAGTGACGAGGGAAGTCCCCAAACCAGGCAGCAGTCAGGCTGGGGACGGTTATGTTTGCATCATTAATGATTCTTGAATTTCTTTGATTTGCAGGTGGTTAAAGTTACTTAACAGTAACATTCTGCTTTAGCAGTAATGCACAAGTAGTAATAATCTAAGGATGCAACATATTGTATTATGATGTAACAATCACAAGAGAGAGTTTTCTGCATATACAATACAAACATATACAATACTTTGAATACATCCTGATTACACTCACATAGTTTTACTTTTACTAGCATTTCCAATACAGGACTTTTTCCTTACTTTTACTTAACTAAGGATCTGAATATTTCCTCCACCACTGACCTTCTTTGTCTATTTGAAACGCTTAATAATTATACGAATTAATAAAATTACTGTTTTTCAACCAGTAGGATTAGCAAACCCAGTGTCATTGTACGTCCCCGGTGATCACAGAGACGACCCAACATATTCATGTGCGTCTGATCAATAATACTGATTGAATCCTTCATTTTCGTCCTTCGTCTGCCTATTTTCGCTGCCATGTTCTCGAGTACATCTTTTAAAAATCTCTGGTATTTTCTGAGGAGAGAGAGCTGGATTTTCATACAAGCGAATGTTAGAAATATAACAGCCAGCAGCAGACAAACGGCCTCATAGTGTTGGTGTGTCACACAGACTTTAAGGCCATGTTTACACCTTGCTGGGTATTTACAAAAACACATCTCTGTTTTCAAAAATAACATTGTTTACACTCGAACGTTTTCAAAAAATCTTTGTCTACACAAACCACATAAACATGTCATTAAGAGCTGCTATGAACATGCCAAATCTATAGGGGCAGTGTAACGAGAAGCATAAAGCCATGCTAGCCAATCAGAATCCTGGAAAAAACAACAACGAAACGTACAAATTACTTCCTGTTACTTCAACGATAATAGCGTGAGGGTTATTTGTTTGGCTCAACAGAAAAGTGGAGCTACTCCTAAATGTGGTGTTAGAGTATAAAACAAGTAAAATCCTTGAAAATATTGACTGGAAAACTGTAGACATGGTTCGCGCACATATGACGCTGATGACGCTTTTGTCACATACTGTAACGTCAAATTCTGTCTCCTCCTGTCTACATGCAAACATAAAGACAGAGTTTTTCCAAATCTCCACTTTGGCCGGAGTTTTCAGATATGATTGTTTTCGGTGACTTGTAGCTTCATTTACATGTTAACCAAAGGCCCAGACACACTCGGCTCATTTCTCTGTATCTGTGGAATCAGCTTTGTACAGTCTGTGTTAGCGTTAGCGCTGCTACTAGCTGCTGCTTCCTCCCTGAAACAGGCTACATGTTAGCTGTTAGCCAGAGCGACAGGTTTCTATTAAAGTGTGTAGCATAAAAAAGATTTTTAACAAGCTGCTTGCTTAAATAACAAGAATGCCACTACATATGGATTGGGACATACTATCTATAAACTGTGACATTTTAGAACTTTTACAAATACATTTGCTAAAGATTTCCATCTGTTTTTACTGTTTGGGTATGAGCATGTGCGTGATGGTAAATAATTGTGTTTGTTTGCCTCCTCAGGTGTAACGTGTGTGGGAAGGAGTTCTTTGAGAAGGCTTTGTTCAGGAGACACGTGAAGAAGGCGACACACGGGAAGAAAGGCCGAGTGAAGCAGAACCTGGAGAGAGAATGTGAGCAGTGTGGCAGGAAGTTCACTCAGCTGAGAGAGTACCGACGCCACATCAACAACCACCAGGGTGAGCTCAGTGGGAGGCAGTTGGGTCGGCCATTTCCAAGATGTTTTGTAATTATGATTTTTCTAACAGATATTGTAATTTGATTTATGATAGCATTTTTCAAAGTCAAGCTTCAGTTTAATATTCACTGTGTAATAGATTTTAAACATGATGGAGCTTTACTACTTGAGACACCATTACAAGGTGTCGGTCACACAAGAACTTGTAAAACCAGTAATCTGACAGTTTAAACCTCGAAACACCCAGCAGCCTCTGGGCAGGTTTTGATCCTTTTTACATTTTTACTCACTGGTGGCTCATTTTTCACTGCAGTATAAAGTCCTGCAACTCAATGGAAACAGATCGAACTTAGAACTTTATTGAAAGCACACAAATATAATGCTATAGTTCATAAAAAGAGAAAAACGAAAGTTCCGTTTCTTTGATTATGTATTTTACAAAAACTGAAAAGTGGAATTTTTCTAAGTGCTGTGACCAAAACGTCTTACGTCTGTCTGCTCTGCGTAAACACTGCCTGCAGTTCAGTCGAATAGTTCCTGAATTTCTAATCTTTCACAGGGCCTGGTGCAAATTTTTTCAACAATTTTTCAAATGAGACATAGGGAATGAAGTGATGAAATATTAGCTTACATTTAGTTAATTCTCCAGTCAGAACTGTACGTTACACAGTTAGTTCAAAAACAATTATTTCTGATTTTTGTTTTATTTTTGGGGACAGAGGGTGAAACTGTGGATCAGACATGCTGCATAATGCTTATTCCATACTGCAGCCGTTGCAATTTCCTATTTGCTTTGCTTCAAATTCCATTTTCAGTAACAATTTCCAGCCTTATGTGACAGTGATGATTCTCACCTGCTCTCTCTTTAGGAGTGAAGCCCTTTGAATGTCTGACTTGTGGCGTCGCCTGGGCTGACGCTCGCTCTCTAAAGCGTCACGTTCGCACTCACACCGGAGAGCGGCCGTACGTGTGTCCCATGTGCCAGGAAGCCCACATCGACGCTCGAACCCTTCGCAAGCACATGGCCAAGTACCACGGGGACAACCTGCCCGGCAAGATCATGCTGGAGAAGGATACGCTCCAGTTTCACAACCAGGGCACCCAGGTGGAGCACGCCGTCAGCATCCTGGCGTCCGACCTGCCTCCTGAGCTCCGGCCGGCCCAGCAGCCGCAGGCGGAGGAGATCGAGACGGTGCTGATCACTGAGGAGACGGTAGAGGCGGTTCAGGCCGTCCAGGCGGTGAGCGACGGCTCGGTGGCGACGCTTTCAGATCAGGGCATCATGCAGGTGGTGAACTACGTGTTGGCCCAGCAGGCCCTCACAGGGGGCAAACTGGAGGAGGCCCCCGAGGTAGTTCAGACCATGGAGGTGGAGGTGGCTCACGTCGCTGAGGTAGAGTAACTTCTACATGGCGACTGATCACAGGATTCCTTCAGTGTGTGTAAAATGTTGAAGACATTCTGTATGAAGCAGAACGTTACATATGCCTATTTTTCTGGAAATGTACATAATTTAAGTTGTTCAGCTTGTGGACTGTGTGTTCATGCACACGATCACATTTCTGTGTTTTGTGTAAATAGAAGTTCAGGAACAAGAAGAACTGATGAATTGCAAGTCTACATTTGGAAATACAAGTAGAATGAGACACTTGATTTGGCTGCATGTATTTCTTCTTCTTGTCGACTCCAATCTGTTTTTTCTGGTTTTGTTGTTGAGAGAAAAGCTGTGAGACTTCAGTGTAGCCAGGTCATATTTATATGCCTTTATAAAAGCATGAGACTGTGTACATTTGTACAGTTTGGGGCACTGAATAGTTTAAGAAATGGAGTCAGAACTGCCATTTTATTGACCAAATGATGTATTTTACACCATATCTCCTGGTGACAAACATCAAAACAGAAAAAGTGAAATAAAAAGTTAAGGAATGAAAGTTAAGAAAGTTAAGAAAATGATGCCTGAATTCCACTCTTTACACTTGCTGTGTTGTCAGGGTTAGTGGACTAAGTTTATGAAAGTCCACAAAACAGGAAAACAACTGACACATTACAAAGTCTAGTCCAGATTCTCAGATATGATTTTCTTCTCCCAGTGTCTCTTGATTCAGTATTGGCTATTCAGCTGAACTGTTTATTTTATGATTAGATGAGATGAGATTAGATAGAACTTTATTGATCCCTTTGGTAGGGGGTACCTCAGGGAAATTGTTATCACTGTAATTCATGACCATGAAAAACAACACACACGACCTTTTCTGTGTTATCAGACTGCAATATGGTGTAAAATACAGAATTTGAAAGTCAAATGGCTCCATCTCTGAAGATATTTACAGGTTTCATGTTTTCATTTCCACATCACAGACTACTGCAGCAAGCTTCGCTAATTCAGGTGTCAGCTTGAAGGACGAGCAGATTAAACATTGGGAGTTTTAATCATCAGCACAAAGTTAAAATCAAGACTTCAAGTGAGAAATAATTTGACACAAAGGAGTGTTAACATGCAATACAGCAAATATGGATATTTATTTCAGATTTATATCAAAATACCCTTGGTATATTGCAACATATTTACAACACATTGTACAAAAATATGAAACTGCAGTTGCTTTCTGCTCTTACAGTCCTGACTACAGAAACACTGTTGGTCTGCCACTGGACATTGAATGCAGTACTGTGGAATATTACAAACATGTTCTTATTCATTAAGTCAGTGGTTTACTACTGCCCGAAACAGAAAATGGATCACCATCACATTATGATGTGAAAAGTTTATTGACCTACCAAGATGTATTTACGTGCATCTTATTTCACACTTTTCACATTATAACAGGACATGCGTTTCTTTTTCTGGCGTGGCAGTAAAGTTTCTGTAGTAAATGCACCGGACAGTGTTCACATCAATATACTTTGTTCATGATGGAAATTATGCAGTTCCTTAAGGGTGACTTTCCAAAACAAACTATACAAATTTATATACATTAAAGTCGGTTTTGGCCAGTGATCAAATGAAATAAACCTCTACCAAAACATGGTTCATGAATAAAAAACAAAAACAAAAACTTGTGCTACGCATCCGCTGCGAGAGCTAAAACCTTTTCTGAAAATGTGATCACAAAGACTTTTGAACAGCAGTAAACAGAAATAAACAAAACGACATCAGTCATAGTACCATTTAACTGTTAAAACACTGGGTCAAGAACATTAGGCCTATATATGGCTACATCAAATGAATGACCATCTGTCACTTTAACAAACATACTTCACAACCTGACTCAATAAAAATAAAGACATTGATGCATTGGTCTCACAACAAACATAAAAAAGCAAAATATAGAAGCTACAGCACAGAACAAATTGCCCATCACTTGACATAATACTTCTGGGAGGAAATGTTTGAAATGTATACAATCGATGCTGACTTTTGCCACAAACGAAAACCAGTGTAGTCGACCATAAAAGTGAAATATTAAAAGTAGTACAAACAAATACAGTTTTGCTATGGTCCATAGCAGAAATATAAGCCCTAATAATCCCTCTAATGTTTCCAGTCATGCTTTAACATGGGAATGAATCATGAACACTTAACAAAACCTCAAAGCAAACTTGAAATTGTCAGCATTTCTTAAGTGCTCTCAAGAAATTACAACATAATAAAAATGCACCTTTGCTCAACACCATGAATCTCTCCTCAGCGAGAAGCAGAACAAACATGAAAATAAGTGCATTTCTCTGTGAATGTGTTTTGTTCTCGGCGGTATTTGCACTAATATGAGGCTTTTTCGAAATGAAATGTTCCATCAGCAGGCGTGAAATGAGAAACAGGAACATGGAGAACGAGGCAACGCTCGTCTTACTCTCCCTCCTCTTTGATGCGCTGCTGTTTGTTGCGGCGAGAATCCAGGTCAAAAGAGAAGTCGGACCACTCATCGCGTGGCGGGAAGGAGATGGTCTGACGGAGGGTGAAGCGTACGGCGTCGATGACGCGCTCGCCTCGGGCCTCAGAGGAGCCCACGCTGACAGTGGAGGCTCCACTGGTGGTGCGCACTATGTGGGGAGGAGGGGAAAAATCCATGGCCTGTCGGTGCTCCATGATGCCCTTCCAGATGATGTGCTGGAACTCGGCAGGGATCTTCAGCCTGGACAGGTCCTAATGGTCATTACACAGGGTAGCGTTAGTATTCGCAGGGGGAGCCACTCTTCTCCTAACCCATCAAATGACTCGTGTTGGATAGGCAAGGGCTCACCTCCATGTTATAGTTCTCAATCTGGTAGATGTTGTTTAGGCCCTGAGCTGTGAAGTAGTCCAAGCAGCCTGCGCAGCCCAGCCGAATGAGGAAGCTGCAGGAGGAAGAGGAGGAGCACAACTTTACACAAGGAACGCGGAGCTTGTTGGGTTGCAGGTATATCAGCAAACTCTACTTTTAACACCAAAGTTATGTTGAAATAATCGTCAGGTCACTGAATGCATTTTAAGTATTAAGCAACTTGTGGGATCAGTGAGGATGAATTCAGGTGTCTAAGTTCCCTCTGAGGTCATACAAAGTGTCAAAGTGCTGAACAATTAAGCAATTTTAGATTAAAATCACAATTTAATAATGAAATTAGCAACTTTTAGGTGTGGCCACTAAATAAATAAGTCTAATGTTGTAATTCTTCTTTTTTTTTAAATTTGAGCAGATTGAAACTCACAGCAGTAGTTTTTGCCGACTGATTGACGACAGGTTTGTTCATGCACACTGTGGTTCCACTGACATGAGCTCAGTCTCATTTAAAAACCACACCTGGTTCATTTTGCAGCATGAAAACTATTTATCCCTGATTCAAACCACATTTTAAACTTGTCAGACCAATTTACTGTCTGCAGTTCTATTAGTTCTTAGTGACTAAAAGTCTTGATATAAAACAAGACATTAAATGAAATATAAAAGGTCAAATAGTGTGTTAAATGATTAAAGCTGTTACTAACATACTTTATTTCTTGGACTAGGAGTGCAGAAAAACTTCGTACTTGTTTTGATTCCATACTGACTTATTTGATTTGATGTGATTGTTCCTGACAACAGTGTTTTCACCAGCAGCTTTACTGTTAACTCTCTGTAGCTGCCTGGTAATAAGCTAACTGCTGTATTCTGTAGAGAGGTCAAGTCCTGCTCCCAGAAAAGCTATATACAACTGCAGGAAATATTCTGTTTGAATTGTGCTGTGACTTACACAGCCACTCAGTGAGCTACATCTCTTGTCTCACAACAGCATGTGGAAACTCAAAACCCAGAATGGTGTTTTTAACCAGGCTAGTAAACTTGCATCAGCATTATGCGTTTACTAACTGCAGCAGCTAACGAGCTAAACTTGGTAGCAGCTGTTGAGTTTGTTTAAAGACGTTGAGAGCAGGTGATTGGCTGGAAGGTGAGTGGGTGGGGCTTGGTGAAAACACAAGTGTCAGGAAAAATGCCATTATGGAATGAAATTTTTAAAAATGAGTCTGAATATGAAGAGTGGAACTATTATGTTTAATAATTAGTAAACTACGTAGTCATTTAAATGTTTTTTTTGTTTTTTGTTTTTTTAAAATATACATATAATGTATTTAATATTATTACAGCTGCAGTTTTCTGTTGATTAGCTTGTCAATACGCTCTCATGCAAACTGTTTCTCACTGGTTGAAAAATCTACTTTAATAAGGAACAAAGTGTTGCATCAACAGCCGTCCCCGATTAATCAGTTATTCTGGCAGCGAGAGGAACAGACTACCTCTGGACACCCCTGTGTTTTTGAAACAGTCCAGATCTACTGGAGACCAACTTATTTAACGTTTACTGAACGTATTTACAGTATTTAATGTAACATATTTGGTTGCGGTCACCTCCAAACTGACACGTTACAGAAGTTGTCAGTGTGGCTGCACTTTGTTAAAACGAATAGCCGAAAAGTCGAATGCAAACTTTGAAAACAATAGTTTGCACATCACAGCTTAACAACTGACATGGCAGATCATCTATAAACAGCAGACTAACTTGTCTGTATTTTATTCCTCAATGGTTCTTGTGCTGCGATCACCATTTGATATAGTTCTGTTATCAGAAATCAAATGAATATGGGCAGCTTCATGACAGTCTGCTCCCAGTCTGTTGTTCTAATTTCAGCGTAAAGTAACCAGGTTAAAATGATTTATTATGCTGCACATAATAGCTTTTTAATTTGATTTATAATTTTTCTGGGCTAATAAGGCCAGCAGGTGGACACTCAGGAGTGCACTGTGGCTGATTTAGTTTCGTTTGAAGATAAAATGCATTTTTTCCCCTCACAACCAGTAAATTAATTAAACAGTAGCTACAATTTGGTTTACTGCAGCGGCAAATATCAAACACACTGGGGCTGGACAGATTTTAAAGGTAAGTATGAACATCTTCTAAGTAGACCCATAAGAGTAAGAAGAGTCGTAACTGTGTGATACTGTGGTTTGAAGAGGTACCTGGAGATGCTGCTGTCCATGGGGTAAGGAGGAGGGGGAGTGCAGTGGGAGGAGGGCACCAGGGGAAGCTGTGGCTGCAGTGCATGTGTGGGGCTCAGTGAGCTCATGTCAGCGTTCATGGGGATGTGAGTTCCCATCATAGGAGTCACTGCAGAGACAAAAGGAGTGACTGTGAGGCTTCTTTCTGCTGCTCTGAGATTTAGAGATTACATAACGTTGAGGGGGACGGGACGAGCAGAGGTTACGCTTAACGTGACACATGATGCATCATAACGGGTCCTGCGGGAGAATCTCACAGGGATCACATTCTTTTAAGGAGGAAGCTGTCTATCGGGTTGGGGGCAGGGGGGGTGAGAGGCGTTCAGGTCCCCTTCTGCCTGCCCAGACATGCTGACCTTACGATAAGCCCAGGAGGGGCGACTGGTGGAGGGTTTGGGGGCCTGAGACAGACAGGAAGGGAAAGAAAAGGGCAACACTTACTGTCAGTGAGGCCTCCAGACATGCTGGATGGGGTGAGTGTGTTTCGCTGCTGGGGGTTGATGAGCTGGCTGACGGAGGGCAGCTTGTTGACTTTTCCGTGAGTTGGGGAGCTGGAGCCGAAGGAGGGCTGAGACGGCATCGAGGTTCTGGGGGAGAGAGGAGGACAGACGGTTACTATAGCAGCTCAACAGACTCATAGCTGTCCTTTAGTCTAAACCTCTGAACCCAAAAACAGCTGGCGGGTTTGACAGGCATGTTATCTTTAAAAAAAATCGCCCAAATCACACCATTTATCAGAACCAGACACAATAAAAACAGAGTGAATCTTTGGATTTGAATCTTTCCAGTGACTTTTGAGCTAATCATCTCCAGTGTGCTGTTCTATCAGAAATCTTATTCAAATCTAAGCTTAAAATAGCGACATTTTATCAACATCAGTTTATTCTACATGTCTTGTTAATAATATAAATTAAAAAAGCAATGTAACTTATTAATTTTTTCTTTTTTCTGATTTACAGCATTATAACTGTGTTGTACTGCACATCACACATTTCTGAGTTCTCTCCACTTCTAGACATTATTGTTCTGCTTCCATAGAGGCGCAGTACTTTTACACTGCAGTAAAAATTGAGCCCACGTTGAGTAAACATGTGACAGGAACAAAACATACCCAGAAGCTGCTTTGGGTTCAGAAGGTTGAACATTAATGTCTCTGAACAACATGAAAACATTCACTTTTCTACAGAGTATTACCTCATACTGACCACATGCTTTTCATAAAGAGACCAAGTTCAAGCAAAAAAAAAGAAGCAATTTATTAAACTCTGACAGACAAAAGTGCAGCAGTCACCAAAATAAAACAATCTGTTTCAAACAGAATGGTCACAGAGACTCAAATCTGCTCTGTACATCACTGCGTGCACATCTGCTGCTTCCTCTATTAACTGGCACTTTATGGATGAAAGTTAAAAACAAACACACAAACTGTCCTGCAGTGACTTTAAAAAACATGACCAGCATCAGCAAAAAGTTCTCTCAATAATAAAGTCTCTTCCCCCCGACAAAACCCCCGTAAGAGTTTGAGTCCAGCTCTCATAAAAATGCAGAGGCACAACGCATTCGTTTGAAGAAGCTCTGTATGTAAAGTAAGATAGAAAACAGGTTGAAGCTTGGTTCCTGTCCACCGTCTGCCTGAAGGGCTGAACGAGGTTTTACAAGCAGCCTCAGGAGATAAAGCCATGACTGATGGTGTCATCACAACAGGCAACCCAAAAATGATGTTTGTACGGACAAAAATAATGCATGCAAGTCAATCTACTGATTCAAAGAGCAGTTTCAGTGGAGCCAGCAGTCACAATGTGTCATTAGTGGCTCAGTAAAAGTCATATTCCAGGATCTTGCAGCAGCAGCAGCAACAGATCACAGACACAGAAAGTTCATCTCCTCGGTGCAGAGTTCCAGCACAGACAGCAGGAAGTAGATGGGAAAAGTCAGAGTTGATAAAGAGGAGACAGAGAGGAGGTCCGTGAGACGTGAGGGAGGAGTAGGAGGAGGAATGTGGGGCAGAGTTTCAGGAGGAGCTGCAGCGCCGCCTCTGATCTCCTGCAGGTTCCAGCAGCTGGCTACCAAGACGGGCTTTTATCAGGCTGCAGGGAGGAACCAGAAAGAAGAGAGAGAGCAGAAATAAGGGCTCACTGATGGAGGAGGAGAAGAGGCCCAGAGGTTCAGAAAACACCAAATAATACTGGAAAAAAAAAACAGTGGTGGAGAAAGAAACACACAAAGAACTGCACAGACACCGTGATGGACAACTGATGCAATATCACAGTGCTGCACTAATGCAGGTGTCCAGAAGATGGCAGTATGAACACACACATCACTGCTCTTCACATCTGGAATGTACAGAGCGGTTTTGTTTAGCATTTACACCGTGGAGGGAAAGAAAAGGTCTGAAACACTCGCTGCTGACAGAACCTTTTATTTCAAAGGCTGTGAGAGAGTTAAGAATTACAGAAGACAGTAACAAGCAACATTAGCTCGAAGAATATACAAAGAAAACGAGGAAAACCATGCAAAATAAACAAAGGAGGCTAAACACAGCAAATCCTTTTAGAAAAATCTTTTCTCTTAATGCTCCAACGGCAAAAGTTATGAATTTAGAGTTTAAATATATTAAGCAAACACAATAAAATCTGAAAGATATCTGGTAATATTTTGTTATATGTCAGGTTGTTAACCTTCTAAACCCCAACAAGTCTCTGGGTCACATTTGTACTCACAGTATGGCTCATTTTTAACTACAGTATAAAACAGCACCAGTGGCAGAGAGAACTCAAAAGGGTCTTCTGTGCAGTTTTACACAGTTATAATGCTATGAAAAAAAGGGGGGAAAGCTGGATTTCTTTGATTATTGCACAAAAATTCGCTAACAAATTGTGTTGCCAATACTAACAAAAAAGGGTCTGCAGACTAGATGTTTCAATGGTTTTACTTTTACAACCTCTGCAAACCATCATATCAACTTCTAAGGATATTTCACCATGTTGAATGTATCCTCCACAAACCTGCTCCATTCATACTGCATTCATTTGTTTACTGATCAAGTATATTTTATTCTCCTCTCAATCTCTCTAATTTATTTACATACTTGTCTCCTCTCTGTTTTGTGTACACAGCCTGCAGCTCAGCTGAATAATTTCACATTTTTGTTACATGACTGCTGGTCCCCACTCAGTAAATCACGGCTGGTTGAGCCGAGAAGCGCAGAATTTTTTGTTTTTTTTACAGAATCTGGTGCGAACAGTTTATTGTTGGCAAATCTGGTAAATGGGACACGTAGAATACAAACTGAGATTTGGTTAATTTCCCAGAAGGCAGCATAGGTCACATATGTTTAGTTCTAGGATTGTCTGGGAGTTAAAAATCAGAGGATTCTTTCTGTCTTCAGAATTTCTGACAATGATAAATGGTGTCAGTTTGGTAGTTTTTATAATGATTTAACATGCTGTCAAGTTTTGGGTTTCAGAGGGTTAAATGTTTTAGGTGTTTTAGGGCCTGACAGGTAGCCGGCCACAAACACAAAGTAAAGAAAACAGCGAATGCAAGCACTACCTCACTGTGAGGCGTCTGCCAGTGGTGTCTTAATGGGAAACTATAACATAAGCAGTAATTATCATCACAGGGCTGTCAAACTATCACTTACACCCATCTCCTCGTTTCCATAGCTTATAGAGAAATGGGCGGGATGAGGAAAAGTGTGTGCGAACATGTGAGACAGTTTTAATTATGCTGAAGCCAATAGATGAGGCTACGGCACGGATTTTGTTTGGTGCTGTTGTGCAAAACCTGGCAAGGCACCCAAAGGCGTTACCGTGAACCTTTGGAAGCTTCTCTCTAACAAAGCATAGCCAGGTACATTTGTCACGATTCATCAGCTTTGGCTCGCGTCCCGTGAGAGAGAGGAAAGAAAAAAGAAAAAGAAAAACAGCTCTACTTGATGCAAGGCTCACCCTCTGAAGTCGCCAGCATTGAGCAAATTCTGGGAAAATTCTCAGCTGCTGGTAAACACTGCATAACAGCCATTTTAGAGCAATTATTATCAGCTTTTCTTGAGAGCTACGATGCTTCAGTGGCAGCGGTAAATACAATCAAGAAATCTCATGCACTGCCTTTATCAGTGAAATCCACTTTTCCAGCAACAAGTCGGTCACGTTAAGTCAGTTAGTCACCACTGCACTCCAAGCAATTTACCCTGCAGGGTAATTAAAAATGCTCCTGATTATTGCACACAAATTCCGCCAAAACAAAGTTCTACACAAGCAAACAAGCTATTTAGTTAGACAGAGACGGAGCACAAGGGAACACTTGAATTCAAGGGTGAACCTTGCAAGTAATGTAGTCCTGCCTTTCATAGTGCGCCTGAGAACAAATGAGCTTCACTTTATTAACAATCTGTACTGGTACTCACTGTTTTTGAAGTAGATTCTGCTGCTGCTGTCTGTATGACTCTATTGTGTGCTGCGGCAGAAACTGCATGAGTTCCAGAGACTCTTTGATTTTTACCAAAATCTCATAAATTTCACGGCCTTTGATCTATAAGAGGGGAAAAAGACAAGAAAGCGGTCAGTAAGCAGCTCAGACACACTCAGAACAACTAATTAAAGAGCCCATATTATGCACATTTACAGGTTTATACTTCTATTTTTGTGGACCTAGAATATATTTACCTTGTCTAACATAAAAAAACCCCAAACACATTATTTTCCTTGTACTGCACATTGCTGCAGCACCTCGTCTTTGAAATGCTCAGTTTTAGCTCCTGTCTTATTAAGGCCCCCCCAGTCTGCTTTGATTGGTTAGCTGAAGTAACCTCTACATACGTACAGCAGCCACAGATCTCTGAATACAGGGATGTACCTCTTGCAGAAGCTGCTCTAGTAAGGAAATAATGGCAGGCTGCAAGGAAGCTGCTTATTCTTTGTTTAAAGACGTCCCAAACTAGTCGCGAGGCAGGTGTTATGCAAGTGTGTTACTTGGTGACATATATAAGTAACAGAACAAAAGCCTGAGGTGCAGTGTTTTCTGTAACTCCTTTTGAAGTGGACTTTGGTCTTTGTAAGTTTGCAGATCTTTTAAAAGCACAAATAAACTCTAACACACTAAAGGAAGGGGCAGGAAGCATGATACGGGCTCTTTAAAGTAAACAGCACAGTGACACTTACAGGCAAACAAAAAACTTCCTCATCTGTAGATCTTCTCTTCTTGATGGTGGACATCTGTATGCCGTGAGAAACCTGGCGGAAGGCTGGAAAGAGGAGAGCAAAGAATGAATACAGGTGACCATGTGTGAAAAGTTGGCCAGAGCAGGCGGGGAGACAAGCGAGGGGCAGGCAGGCATGTAGCTGAGAGTAGGAGGCATTCGCTGAGCACTGAGAGTTAGTGAGTGCAGCGGTTGATGGTCCTCGACGCTGGCAGCATGTCAGGTCAGACCAAAGCTCGTCAGCCCGTCACCAGCCCCAACGCTACTTACGGCGTTTCGTACCCTCACTGCTCTTTGTGGCGTCCGTTACGTGCTGCTTGCGGATGCTGTCCTCGTCCGCCTTCCGATCTCGGCCTGGGCAGGCGCAGATCCTGGCTTCGAAGCAGCGGCGGCCTAATACCTGACCACTGGAGGAGGACAGGGACACACAGCAGGCAGAGCCTCGGTCACAAACAATCCACCGCTTAACTGGAAGCATGACAGACAACGGAAGAGGACAATGGAGACGATGGCAGTGTGTCTTACTCTCTGGTTTCCAGAGTGACGATGATGAGGATTGGTCGTCTGTTCATTCCACCCACACAGCTCGAGTTGCACATGAAGTTGTACAAAATTGTAGTAAATTCTGTCCCCACCTGAGGAGGAGAATGACACTGAAGGTAAGCAACAACACGTGCTGATGCCAAAAGAAAAGTTGAAGTCTGACAGGATTTTAATTTCAGGATGTAGCTGAAGAAAAGTCTTATTAGACTTATTTCAGTGTCAGCTTTAGCTTTAGTTGTACTTTGGATTTAATAATTTTGGATACAAGGACACGTCTTCTCTTTCATTCCTTCACGCTGTTAGTGAAGTTTTGTCCAGTCTTTATAAGGCACAGACACATATATAAAAGCTCTATTTGAGACATGGTTAAAATTCATGAGGAAGAAATTAGATTTTTTCTGCAGGAATATTTTTTGCTTAATCCAGAAAGGTCACAGGTAACAGTTATTTAACTGCATATAAATACACTAAGTTACTTTAAGTCAAGGATTTTTACTGCATAGATGATTTTTTTTTTTTTTTGCTGCCCTCAAATAGGTTTTAGAACTAAAAATGTTTTCAGAGGTGATGGTGTTTTAAAGTCAATTACAACGCCTAAATAAATCATATTTAAAACTCTGCTTACATAAAATACAAACTGTATTTTTTCCCCTATTTAACATCACTGCTACTGGATAGCGTGAAACAAAAAGTGTATTTGTTTTCTAATTTAGTCGAGGGAGCTTTGTAATAGCGGCCAAAGTTCTTTTCTAAAAGACTAAAGTCCTGTTTGTAGCGTTTGTGACTTCTAAAGAAGACTTTGAGAAGGAGGGCTGCTTTCTGCTAAGGCCTGCACTGAGCTGAAGCACTGATCGCACTGAGGGGCAGAGTGTCAGGACTGAGCGGCTGGACATGAGAAGCTGTCAGCTCAGAGTCTGTCGCCGCTCTATCAGTCAGAGTCAGGCGAAGGCGCTGAGGTGTCGCTGACAGCGAGATGACAGACAGCTCACCTGAGGAGGCTCGTAAGGAACTAACACGCTCTGTCTTCCAGTGATGGAGTCCTCCACATACTGGGCGTGGCTGTTTCCCTCCACACGGATCAGATGGCTCGGAGGAGCTATCTGACCTGTAAGCAACACAAGTTGTGTCATTAAATGCTGACAGCAAACAATGAAGCGAAACATGTGCAAGGATTTTATTTATTTTTTCAATAAATCAAATAACTGACCGTCATTGAACTCGCGGCTGAGCTCGTGGTTCGGGCAGCGTTTCACCACTTCGGTCACGTGTTCGGCTTTCTTGTAAACAGGCATGGCCCTGATGACGGCCCCCTGTGGAGGGGTGGTCAGGACTTTGATCTGAATGGGACATGTCTTGGCAATTTGGCAGTACAGCTTCTTCAGATCTGTTGAGTACTGGAAAGTAGAAAAAACACAAAAAATATCTAAAACACCGTAATTTCTATGCAACAAAGTGATTCAGAAAATGTTCATAAACATACATCTTTGCAACTTCTGAAAATAGTTGAACAACTAATTGAAATATTATTGAAATAGCAACATGGCCAAGTGCAATATCCAAATCATAGTGGATGCAATTTTTTGACAAAAGTACAATTTGTCACAACATACTGAGATGCCTCAGACTACAAATTATATTCTCCAGACATAAGAGAACATATTCATTTTTTACACAACACAACATAAGTCACATCATCATGTTTATATATTTTTCAGCTGAAAACAAACTAAATTAATTCCCACTAAAATTGTGACTTGCAATATCTGTCTAGATAATCACAATATGACCCTTTTTAAAAATATTGTTCAGCCCCACTTCTGAGCAGTTTTTAGGTTTTTAGTTTTAAATTTTAAAGGCTCACATTGATCTTGGTAACACCTGTTGCCTAGACTGCGCACTTCTGGTTTCCCCTCAAGCAAAAAAAGGTTAAATACAAGACTGTGATTATGACCTACTTAAATAAACACACACAAGTTTTGGTGTGTGTATTGGGCAACCTCAAAGATGTCTCAGAGAGAGCCTCTGGGACTTCCGAGGAGTGCCATAAAATGGACCCCTCCAGGAGCAATTAAACCGGGCCTGGCTTTCATCTTCAAGGGGGGAGTACTCTGCTAAAGCGTCTGATGGCCACTCATCATACAGAGCAGGGCTTCTGAACGGGGCTGAGTGCAGATTTCCTCGGTTGGATGAAAATGACTCAGTAGAGTACAGGAGTGAAGGACTAATCACTGGAGATCCGTCCACGGCTGCTGCCAAAATGTGATGGTTGCTCACACAAGCTGGCTCACATTCAAGTTTGCAAGCCAGGAGTCATGAATAATGGATGCACCTTGATCCCTGGCACTGTTAGAATTGATAACCAGTAAGCCATCAGAAAGACTGAATTGTTACTAATAGGCACAACCCAACTGTGTAAACAAGCCATTGAAATCACTGCTGTGTAAGCAGAGCTTTAAATCCTCTCTGTGTAGAAGACACTGGGTGGGGGTGGCGGGGAAAATTTTCCTGTCAGGTTCATTTCTGAGCGAAGAAAAGTGAACATTGTGAAAACCGCTCGGGGCTGTGTTCAAGAACAATGCAACATAAAATTCCAGCCCTATTAAGTGTGGTTCCAATGAAAAGGAGCTCATCCCAGTACCTGCCTGTGCTGACTTTAAATATTACACAAGCTTGGCACGGACATTTTCTACTCTGCTCCCCAGGCACAACCTTTCCTTTCATCAGGACAAACCCAAAACAGCACCTTCCCGCCTTGTTCCCATATTCTCGCCCACAAACTGCACACACATAACTGCTGTTACTGATTTCGGAAATAAAGGCAGGTTAATAATAACCTAAATTCTCCGCTACACTCTTTTCCTCAAGTGATCTAATTATAATAACACAACAGTACACTGCGGTACTAATAATCACTGTTAGAAAGTTAATATTAAAGCAAATAGCAAGGTTACACTAAAACAGTGTTTAGATGTGTCATGTGTGCATAAATACAACTAGTTAACAGGATACGCTCTGTGAGAAGTACAGTTCAAGCTCTGGGACATGTACGTCAACACAGTGACTGAAGTGAGTCTTCCTTAAAATCAAAGCAGCTTTCCAAAAGGTCTTCTTAAAAAAAGAAAAAGTCGAAGATGAATGGTTGCAGTTGTCCCCTCGCTCCTAACCTGATACTCCCCGTACACCTCTGTCAATCAGCTAAATGAGGTGGAGAAGCTGAGCAGAGAGACGGGGGAAAGACCAACAGAGAGAGCAGGAGATCATGAGGCAAAGAAAAAAAGGGAGAAGTGCTCTGTAAAGGGTCAGTACGTAGTGTTTGAAATAATTACAGGCTGCTGCGTTTGTGTAGCTGAAGGTGAAAACACAATTCAGAGATCTAATCAGAGATGTTTGTGAGGCAGAAGTTTGTTTAGATGATATCCTACTGTCTCAAACTGCCACACAAACACACACGCACACAGAGCAGAGAACCATCCCAGCCCTCGAGCTACAAACTTTGAGTACACAACTATGTGCTGCTGGTGCTGTTTGCTCAGCAGTGAGAGCAGGAGCTCTACTGATTGCTGAAAGCAGCGAGCGGTTAAAGCCAACAGCGTTCAGGGTGGAGGACAGCCGGTTGACTGATGGGATTCAGTGGCTCACACAGGGTGCGGTGCTCAGGTGTTAACATGTAATTATGAGCCTTTCATTGGTCACAATGTGAATTACACAGCCGAGGAACACACAGCGCACAATGCAGAGCAGTTTAATCACAATCATGTGAAAGAAAACTTTTCTAAGAACCCCGCGTGACACATTGTCCAACTGGCACATGTGGCAGTGAGGCAGAAAAAATAATGAATGACCTGAAGAGGCTGTATTTACAAACACGACACACTCTGATCACTACTGTACAACTCAGCTGCACAATGACAACAGCACTGCAGTTTGCAAGCTAGTGCATTAGTGAAAATATATGCCTCTACAATAATCTGACTACATGCAACACACAATTTGTTCTGATGCTTGGACAGTGCTGCATGTGTGCAATTACTTTCTAACACACCAGCACACACTTCCTGTGCAGTGCAGGTCGAGGCAGGCCCACAGCTGTAGCGTTCTTTTCTCCCTGACAGGCGCTGCGGGCGCATGCAGAAGTCAAGTCCTGACAAACATCAGGCCTTAAACAAGCACTGTTTGGCGCCTCTGGTCTTGTCTTCTTCATACCTGACATGTCATGTCATGCCTACAGCTTCTCCCAAACCCGTTTAATTCAACAATATTCCAAAGGGTTTTTTTCCCCCCTCCTCTTCTTGTCTCTGAAACAGAAGCAAACCACCTGCTTCTTAGAAGAAAATTAAAAACAGGGCAAAATGTAGCATTTTAGAGGATAATCATACATTTCTATACCCCCTCTAAAGAACTCAATGTTTGGCTGTAGTCATCAGCACCAAGTTTGACCACCCAATCTCAGTGATGACACCTGTCACAAGGAAAACCTGTGTGATCAGAAGTGGCATCATGTATCTGGTGCTGAAAGAGTCACAGATGCATCTGTCTCTCCTGACATTTGCTGAAATGCTTTTCTTCAAAATCACAAAAAAAACTGTATTTAAAAATAAAACTGGCAGGTGGAAAGAGGTTCATGAAAATATTTCTGGAGGTTCTAGAAGCAGCATTAAGTTAGAAAAAAATAAATAAAAAAACTCCAGGTTTTCTGCCTTTTTATTCATATGCAAATCCAAATAGCCAAAGTTTGCTAACCTACTAAAATAATTCCAAAAACTATGATCTTCTTATCCTTCAAGGAAGTATTAAAGCTGCAAATATGTTTGTGTTATTCTAACCTTCAATTATCCAACAACAATGATTTCTGTGTTGAGAGCTCATAAACTTAGCAGAGGTTTGGTTGACAGACTGATATCTGCTTTTTGTATTTATACCATTACAGTGTGATCCTGTTTTCTGTGGAGGTAAATCACTGCTGCAGGTACCTGTACGGGGGCGTTTGTTCGAGGGAAAAAAGAATCTTGTAATCTAAACTGTAGGAGAAAGGGCTTTTCCATGAAGATTATGAAGAAATCCCATAGCCCATATCATAAAAACCTTTTCAACTCTGCCTTTTTAAAAATTTCCCCTCTACCTTTTCCCATCTGTAGCTCTCAGGGCTTGTCTCTCTGTGATGGGCGAGTCGTGACAAGCTTCTTGACACAAACAAGTCTCAGCCCCATCTCGTGAGGCGTGGGACGGGCCCGCAGATGTTCCAGGGGCAAGCTGTGTCTTGCTGCCTTTCGCTAGAACACTCTTCTCTTTGAGCATTCAAGGACTCTCCTCCTCCTCCGGCGCAATGTGAGATGCAACCATCAAGCTTAACTCTCTCAAAAAGACAGAGCCCACTCCAAGAGCACTGGGTTCAGGAAAGAGGCACACAGTATTTACACAAGTATTATCTACAGGCCCTCAATCCATTACTGTAATCCCCCTGAGCTCTAGTGCGTCCCAGTGATAGCCCAAACCATGACATTCCTCTCCTTTGACTATATGTAGTGGCAGTTAATACACACTGCAAACACAACCAATCTTTAGCCTCACAATAGCTGCATCAATAGCCAACAATGGCTGCCTCGTTTGCAACACTCCATTAATTTAGTAAAGCAAAGAAGACAAAACATCTGTATTTATTCGACCTGGCCCAGTGTTTTTCTCGAAGTGAACGATAAAGGACGGAACACCATGGAGACTGCAGGAGTGCCAACAAGGAAACCGTGTGGGAGCAGTTCTGGGAAATGTTGACGTGTTGCACCTCACAGTCATTCTAGACAGGAAGAGGTTAAGGTGTGGGTTAGGGATTAGGTGTGTCTCCAAAAGAACAGTCATCAAAAAGTACAGTACACAGTCCACTAAGTCCTGTGGAAGATCCCACAGGCCTTCAAAAGGGGGCATTAGCAGATCTATGAGCAGAGCAAAGCCGTGGTGGTGACATCTTCAGTGGCTCTCCGCCTGCAGTCCATCAGTCCAGCAGTTGAGCTATTGGGTTGAGATTATGGGAGCTTTAGCAAAGATCTCCTGAGATCAGGTGAGGGAGCCTCCTGCGAGATGGGAACCAACACTATAATCACTGCTTTTTAGAAGGAGGCCGAGTGCTGCTGCAGAGCAGTGAAAATGACTCTCATCAGAAAAACAAAATAATGTTCAGTGAGGCGAAGTGACAAATGCTCTTTGATGGAAATGGAGGCAGAGCAGTCAGAAAAGCTGGTGACATTTACCTGGTTATTAAGTGAGAAAACAGCTCAGACAATCTGAGTATGCCATGCCAGTTTTCTGTAAAATTCTCAAGTGATATTGAAGCAAACTTTGGAAATGTTGCAAATTTTTTTTTTAAAAAGTTAAAAAAAAAACTGTGATTTAGATTTGTTTACATTTGCTGCTATGGAGCGAATAAACTACGCTGTGGAGAATCATCAGAAGGTGGTGCTGTGGGCTACGTGACATATGGTTGTAACAAACAGAGTAGAAGAAGAAGCCTGTCTGAAGAAGGAAGACGACCAAAGAAACACTCGATCAGTAATGTGAGTTAAGTTCGTGATGTCATAACTGTGTGAAGCAAATTAACTCTTTTTTTTTTACAAAAAGTCAAAAACCACTTCAAGCGAGTCTAAAAATTTTTTCGCAAAATTGTTTCCCAGTCAGACTATCAGAATGAACTTCATTTATTTTAATTATCAGTCATGTGATGACTATGAGAAGGTAATGGAATTGGCATTTGTCATTCACTACAGATTTTTTTTTTTAATTTTTACTTTTTTTGAGATATTATTGTATTTTTATTAGATAGTGAAGTTGAAATGTGGGGAAAGAGATCAGGAGAATGACATGTAGTAAAGGTGCAGGCCGACTGAGATTCCAACCAGGGACTCAGTGCTACAGGCGTTTGTGCCTATGGGCTACCCCAGGTTTTTTTTTTTTTTTTTTTTACATTTTCAACTCTCATCATTGTTTTTCATTTTTAAAGAGACTCCATATTCAAAATTGTCAAAGGCCACTGACACAATAAAACTGAAGTCTAACGTATGTAGAAGTACTGATAGATATTTTCTTTGTTAATTGTTGAAATGCATGAATAAGCAAATCATGAGGAGACATATACTTCGTTGAGCGCAATAATAGTAAGCTGCAATCCACTACTTTTCCACATTAAGTCAGACCAATCTAACCAGTCTTGCATCATGTGTTGTGACTGTGGGACACAGTCTGTTTTACTACATGTGTCTATGATGGGATGGGTCCTAAACCAGGCTCTGGGGCGTGCCTCTCACAAACCACACTCTTAGCCGCCTCACAGTTGCACATCAGACAAACACTTTTGTTTTTGGACTGTGAAAATGAGAGGGATGAGTGAGGCAGTGTGGGAATTGGGTAAATGTCACAATCCCACACTTGGCGTGGCAAAGGAATAATGAGAGATGGCGCAGCACTCCCTGAGTTTACTCTGAAGGCACAGTGCATTAAATTCAGCGCATTAAGCTCAGCAGGTTTTTCAACAGTCCTCTTTTGGCATATTTCATGGGGAAGACTTGGATGGGCTGCTAATTATCAATCTTATGCTAATGACAGACCTTTTTAATGTCAATTTCCTTTTGAGGTGTCTCATTCATGTTGACATTTGTAAATAATTTACAGTAAAGCAGGTCCATTATGTAATTATCCACGTACAGCGTACAGTGACAAAAACCTCGTCACCTACAATGTCCGCTAGGGTGCATCCATACGCTGAACTCCCATGGCTGTAACAGTGTCTTCACAGATTAGACACATAAACAATCAAGCAGGTGGGGTGCTGATGCAACAGCTGTCCCTCAGCCCCGTCATGCGTAATGACAGAGCAGGAGGAGCTGGTTGTGTGGCTTTACTGAACATCACATGGTGACATCTAGTTGCACAGGGCATCACCACACCTGGAGCAACGATTCAACCTGTTTACCTCTGTCATCAACAAAGCACCAGTAAACTTTGACCAAGTTGTGACTAAGCTGAAGTTGAAGAACACGGTCATTGTGGGCTAAATAAAGGTTCCAACACTCCATACATGGTATTTATATAGTTAGGATTATATGTTAAGACTTTGGTTAGCAAATATCTCCCATAGTGAGATCATTCTCTTCGGTTTATTGTCTATCAGCAAGAGAAGTTCACGAAAAATGCCTGAGGTTGAGTCATAATTTGAAGCTATACATCTCAAGTGACATTCTGCAGATGCAGTTGTGCAACGCAGGACTTTCGAATAATGTACACCTAAATCTGCCTCGAGCACAGACAGTCAGATAAGGAGTTCATGGGTAAGAGCGTCTCTTTAACCTCTACCCTGACAAATCACTGCCTCATATGATGACCTGTTATGATGACAGGCAGCACATTAATGTGTCTCTGGGGGTCCACATTTCTTACGACAAGTAAAAGCTTGCTCATAGGGCACATGAAACTCTATCAAACTGTACGAGATGCCAAAGAACATTGTTTAAAACAGTTGTACAGGGCAAAGAATAAAGAAAACAGATTTGTTCAGTACAACAAAAAAGTGTGTCATTTTAATGGTTCACTCACAGCAGGCTGTGATTCATAACTTACCTGACTCTGTCTGAAACTGTCCGACAGAGCATGACAGCATGCTGGCGGATAAGACTCATATATTGCAAAACAGGTTTTTTTTTTGTTTTTTTTTTTATGTTTGGAGAGAGCCTTTTAAGATGTGTTTTGAAACTGAAATCTACAGATGCAAATAGACAAACTGTAGTAAAATTAATGGCTAAATTAATATTTTGAATGTTTTCTTTCCACTTGTCTGAAAGAGACTTTTGTCAGAAGCAAAATAGCACAAATTGTCAAAACTGACAAGTGCATGGAAAACTTTTCCTTCGTGTCTCAACTTCAGAAGGTTAACAGGCTCCATAAACTGATTATTCATCCACTTTCTAACTCAAAATTTTGTACATGCAAAACCCTTCTGGAACCCATCTGAGCTTTTTTAGGAAGCTCTTTGAAAATATGTGCTCATGGTAACATAAAGTTTGATTGGGAGCAGGACTCTGGCTGTTTATTCATCATGCAATATAGAGGTCAAACCTAACTGACTATAAGCAGATTGCACAAACTGCTGAATGAATGAAGGGTCTTACCGTCCAGGTGGCAGACTTCGCTGTACTGGACTGCTGGAAGGACACATCAAAGGTGTGGGGCCCAGCATAGTCTGTGTTGGATGGGATGGCTGGTGAGGGGGAAAGGGCGTCAAAGGTGGAGCTGGGCTGGGCATAAGGTGACGGAGCGGTCACGTTGTTCTGTGCATGGTCGTTGTTGTAGGGGCTGGTGGAGGTTGAGCCGCCGTTCTGAATGTTCTGATCCATGCTGTTCAGGAGCCCCAGGTTGGTGTACTGTGACTGAAGACAAAATGGAGGGAATGGCAACAAAGGAATGTTCTGTTATCACAGTGATGCTTTAATCTGAAGGACAATTTAAAACTTTGAAAACATTTCATATTGAAGACAAGACTGATGAATCTTTACCATACAAATAGAAAACCTGTTGTGTGAAAGCTAGATATTTAGGGACATTTTTACTGTAACGCCATGTTTAAGTTAAAAAATGGTCGCCTGGAACTTTAAATTAAGTAAAAAATGATTAAATAGTCTGAGAATATAGAAAATAAATAATAAACTATATACTCAAGGCTTCTAATTCCCCCTTCCACAGCCAAAACTATTCAGACAGGAGGAATGGAATTAAAATATCTGCCTTTAAACAGGATGGAGAATACGTCTGGGTCCTAGCCAGCCCCTTCCTGCTTGCTCTGCTTGCCATTCACCCCATTCCTTTCCATTTATAAATGGCACATTCCTGGACGAGGTGCCATGGCTCTCGCTCTTCAGACGGCCATTAATCTCTCCAGGGCCTCTTGTTTATTTCAAGCACGGCTGACCACAGCTGTCCGACTCACACCCACCGCGCTGCCAGGTGTTAGTGTTGTGCCAGATGACCGACAAAACACACGGTAAGTTATATAACTATTAGTCAAGATGCTGACTTATGAATCAATAACGTTGCTTTATTGCATACTGAGCCACACAGACTCCCACAGCCAGACAGACACACCTGAAAGAGGTCATTTGAGTCAACATACTTGTGCAACAGCACCACAGGGTAGCGAGCTGTGTGGATGAGGGTCACTGTGTGTGCGCTGCGAAGCTGCTTAACCCCCCTGGAAACAATGCCTCCAGAGCTTATAAGAGCTTGTCTGGAGAACAATTATGCTGGGCATGCAGGTGTTAGGAGACAAGTGCTTTGTGAATGGAACACACACACTAGGAAAGAAAGAAAACTTGACTCTGGTGGAGATCCTTCAGCCTCTAGCAGGGAGAGGCTTCCCCAAACACACACTCTTTCACAAAAGACTAATTACACATACGTATTATAAAGGTTTAAAGTCAATGGGCTGGAGAGTGACCCTGTGTGTCTGATCTCAGAGCAGAAAATGATATGTGTTAAACTGGTGGAACTAAAAAACGTCAATGTACTCACCTACACAAAGTTTTTTTTAAAAAATTGACATTTTCCTTGTTTTTCATGGGAACTAACAGAGTGACTAATTTTCCAGTTTGGCCAGTGTTTTCCCGTATGTGACGAGTGAGCAATCATGATATCAGTGAGATTCTTTTGAACTCTGGTGCAATTTCACTGAGGCGCTCAGCCTTTGGGAGATGACACAGCCTCCCCCCCTGTACCTGATGCTGGCAGCTGCAACGGTGGATGTGACAGGCACCAATTATCAATGCCAAATTATTATTCTAAAGAGAAGGTTGATGCTGGCCAGAGAACAAACACAGATAAAAGCAGGGACACAAATGCCTGACATAGACTACTTAGCATTAAATACAGGGGCCAAGGTAATGCTTCTTCTACTCTAAATGAATATGAGGATCAAAGTTGGGGATTTGAGGATAAAGCCATAATTGACCCGATAGCGCAGCTCAGCAGAGTTTCACCTAAACTCATCATGTTTAAATGTTTAATTGGCTGGAAGTGGGATATCAGCTTTTAAAAAGGGCTGTGTGAGGGAGTTTCAGGCCTTCTCTTGGTTTCCTTTAATCAGATCTTATTCCACTATAATACAGCAACCATTTAATAACCACTTTAGCAGCTCTTAAAAATTCCTTCTGTTTATAGCTGACGCTGTGTTTAGGCCTTTGGGATGTCACGCTGCTAAGCAGAAGCACAGTAAATCAGCAGCCTTGACATCCTCACCAGCCTTTAATAAAGTTTGTGAAAGGTTGTGCTGTCTGTTTGAGGCCTTCAAGCTCATTTCTTTGTCTGAGATAAATGCTGGGGTAACCATTTCAGGCCAAGAGGAAAAGGACACTGTTGACCTTCACAGCGACTGCTTGTTCATTTCAACATAGGAATCTGAATTATCCACAACACATATCAGAGATATTTTAAATACACATGGCAGCACTAAATCAAAACTTACTGCTACAGCCAACACATTGGCATTCAGTAGTGGTATGGCATGCTAACACGTTTAAATTACTGTCTTGTGTTTACTGCTAGATCAGTGCTCACAAAGGTCAACAAATATTATTGAACTGTGGCTGATTAAAGGTAAAGATCCTCTCTGCAGTTTGAGATACTCTGCACTCCTGTCAATACAGATTTCTGAAAGGTCTCAGAGGTTATGATTGGTGTTTGATTAATATGTTAGTATCGTGAGCAATAGTGACACAAGAGATTCTGTTATCTTTGTGAGCACTGTGCAGGCAGAACATTTGCCAGAAAATGCTGTGCGGCTGCAGACATTCAGCAATACCTGTAGGCACCATTTGAACAACTGTTGAATTTATTTTACACTGAAAAACTAAAACAGATAAACATCCACGATTTATATCTAAAGCTACATAAATTCTTCTGTTGCTGCTGATGTTTTGTAGCCACAAAGTGCAAGCACTGATAAGGCAGGAATCAGAGCAGACCTGGCCTGAGGGGGGGAATATCTCCCATTCCAGGCTCCCTGATGACCTGCTGCATGTTCCTCTGGCCAGCACCTAAGAGCATCGAGGGGACCGTGATGAGTGACCACAGGGGAGGGAGGCATTAAAGGCTCAGCGGGGCTGGGGGTTGAGGTGGAGCTGGGTGGGGGTCTATCTGCACCTTATACCTGCTGGGGTGGGCAGAGCAGGTGATTGTATCTACATCAACACACCATTAAAGCAATTACGACCCCGGACTAAACAGCAACGCCTGGCCAGCCACATTCTAATGGCTGCAGCGGCTCCCAGGAGACTGGCGACGGGGGAACCTGATACCTCACACACTGGAGGGATTGAGCCGGACACCACTTAAAGACCCCCTGCTCAACAACTTAAAAGACAGTGACCTGACACACCTGCTATCTGCAACCTGCAATCTGAGAATCTATCACCGCTTACTCACTTACTGCAGTAAGTTTAAATGTGAAATTTGGTCGATGAGCAAAAATAAATCAAGAAGTGCGACACAACAGTTCACTAAAGGAACCGAGAACAAAGGAAAAGGTGAAAAAAAGGTAAAAGAAAAGCAATAACCTGGAAACTAAAGGATGTATTCTATACAAATCAATAGAGATACAGATATCGACAATAATTTTTTTGCGCTCTCAAATGCTATAAGGGACAATTTTACTGCTTGTCTTAGTAACATTATGATTAAATGGAACTGATGTAAAGCTATTAATTCAATCAGATTAATGTCACAGTCATGTTTTTTAAAAAAATGTGAAAGCATATATTAAATTCAGCAGCTTATTTAATTTACTTTTGAAGTGTTTGCCATCGAGCTCTGCAAACACAGATCCATCAATCATTACGCTTGCACTTTCAGAGTAAAAAATGAGACTGGATTTTTCTTTAAACACAGAAGTTTTAATGCCAATTGATGCATTCAAACTTTTTTGTATTTTTTGTGCTGTCTTTGACAGGACAGAAGAACCTTAAATATAAACTTCGACATCTTGTGAAAAGGCATTCAGTTCAAAGTGAGCATTAAAAAAAAAAAATCCTGATCCCACAAGAATCGTACAAAGCAGATCACAGGATCTGTATAGCTTCTCATCATTAAAATAACCTACATGAAAGTATTTTCCTCTTTACTTTCCATTTCTTTATATATTCCTGACTATTTCCATGAAAGAGTCCTCACAGAGAACAGAAACTACTTTGCATGATAGAAAATCCAAACCGTCTAAATCCTTTTGAAAGCCAGATTTTCGAACATATAAAATGCTTGTTGAACAACAACCAGACTCAAAGTAAATCACATCAAGTGACTAAATCCATGCCCAATGGACAGCAGCCATTTTATGAGAGGAAAATATTCAAAGAGATTCTCCAGGTGTTTACATTCCCCTGCTCTCTGGACTGTCACACGCACACAGATGTGTGCAAAAACACTCACATACTGTCACATTCCACAACACAGGAAACATTTCCCTATTTAATCCTTCTTTGGTGTTTGCTTCTTGAATAAATAAAACAATTTTTTTTTTTAGTTTTTTTAAGTTACTAAGCAGTCAATACCAAAAAGCACACAAAAACATGGTCACACACATCAGTCCTAAGTGACTTAGTATAATTTAGAAAGCTGACATAAAATGGTAGAAGGCCTTTTACTCTAATGTGTCCTTTGTGCCATGGAGCTCAGCAGAACCAACCAGAGGAATGGGAGCAAGTGCTGACTTCCCATTACCAGCTTCTCCGTTGGTCTTACCTCGCTGTAAGATGGTGTGGTCCCCGTCTCCAGGTACAACATGTTGGCGCTGAGATTGAGCAGAGCTGCTGCTGTTTGCTCCACTGGCTCCAGGATTCCACAAATCTCTTTTCCTCACTCTAAAGGAGTGATGTGGACAACAAATGCAAAGTGGACAAGCAGAAGCTTCTATAGGAATCTATGGGGAGGTCATATATACCTGGAAGAACGGGGAGGGGTCTAAGGATACCTGTTCAAAACCAGTCCACACCCATCTCAAGAAGAAGTACTGTCTCCTTACCCTGTCTTTGACTCTCTGCAGAGCTCCTCAGAGGAGAAACAAATGACTTTAATTAACTTGGAAGCTTTGCTGGATCCCAGACGCAACAAAAAATTATGCACTTTTTCTTCACATGCCTGCATTTTAATATTATGTATATTTTACTTATTGACTATCACTTTGCTGCATATGACAATCCACATAAGGCAACACAAAATACTGAAGAAAAGAAAAATTAAATTAACAAATTTGCTTATTTTTTTCTTTTTTTTAAATCTTCATGGCATTGTTCTCAGATCAACTTTAAATTTCGATTTAGCCATTCCAAAAATATGGAATGTATCTATCTCTGTATGGATGCATTGCATTAAATGATTAAACATAATTCCCCTGCACAAAAAAAATATCATCAATGTGAATGATAATAAGGAACAATAACAAAAAATAACTAATAACTTCAGAGAGAAAGCAATTCGGGAAACAAGCCGCAGAGCAAGAGCAGTAGTCTGGGGTTGGAAAAGTTAGCCTACAGTAGCTAGTTTGCATAAGAATTGTGCTCCTCTGCATCCTCGAAGCAAGCTGAATGTAGAAGCCCCCAGAAAAAAAACAATGTGGCTCCTGTAGATTCCTTGTATCTATCAGAGATGACTGATGTAGATCTGTTGTGGAAACATGCATTTTTTCTCAGATACTCTAATGGTGGTCGCACGGATCAGCTCACTCTCTTGTAATTGCAACAGCTCCAGTAAAATGAATTAAATGGATGAAATAACATGTTTTATACATTATATTTTCAATATTTCAGTGAAACAGCAATGTTTGAGAGCAGTAAAGTGTGCTTTTTAACTGTTGAGAGTAGAAAATTAAAAAGCTTACATTGATTTTTTTAAACAAAATGTCTCACAGATGTGTATTTGAGAAAAAACCCTCTGCAGGTTTATAGATTCAACTTGTAAAATGCCAAAGTAGACTTGACTTTTCAACTGCAAGAGAAATATGGAGTGAAGTCACACTGCAGCTGTAAACATGACTGGATCCACTGCCAGCTGCACTGCTACATGACAAGGGAGGAGACTGGTCAGTACAGCGCAAATCACTTCAATTACTACAGAGCCACAGGGCAAAGTCTCCTGCCCTGTGGGTCAGAGTGGTTTGAAAGCTGTCTGAAAACTTGAGCACAACTATGACGTGAAGTCAGTGTCTCCAATCACCAGCCACACCCCGTTTGGGCCCCAGGGCCAGCGGCCTGCAGGTCAGCCTGTCACAAAAGGCAAATCAACACTTTAAAGAGCTCGATCCAGCAACCTCCCAAGGTACCCGGCTTCAGTGAGGGCCAAGCCAAACCTTTTGAGGGTGATAATTAGTTTAGCTAAACAAACTTCTAATTATGTTAAAACAACACTGACATGTGAAAAGAGGTTAGGGTACTCAGTGTTAGTCGAATGCAAAAGCAAAATATAGAACAATAGCTGCGTTTAAGTGAGAGAGGACAGACACACAACAGCATACTGTCTGTATAATGCAGCTGAGACAAAGGCTGCAACAAACTGCAGTCGGTCCACAGATCAAAACACATCTTAAATGTTTTCAATTGCATAGTTTTTCTACAAAAACTAACATAAAACAATTATAAACTAACAAGTAAATATTTTTTTAACTCTGTTGCAGCAAAAATAAAATAATTTACTTGTATATTTGTTTTAGGTTCTAAACCAGAGATAAAATCACATCAGGTCAGATAAAAATCTTTCTCTGTAAATCTCATATATCATCTAAAAATAAACACGTGATTCTATTACAAACTGAAACCAACTATCTCGGGTCGAGAAAACTGACAACTTTAACTATATACTCAATGAGAGCAGTCACATCTCTATTAACTGCATCAGCTCAGATGCTGTAGTGGTGAGAAACTAAGTCAACCAGGCAGCAGCTGAAGATTTGCAGATCCAGGGGCTCAGACAAAAGAAGCTTTCCTAAAGTTTTTCCTTTTAAAGAGACTGTTCCTAAAGTCAGCTAGATTAGTTTAGTATCAGGTGTCAGGCTGCAGTGGCTGGGAAGGCACAGACACCTGACCTAAAAACAGAGTAAGCCAACATCCACACTGACAGATGCAAGTAATAGGTGAACGACAGAAAGCATTACTTGGGTGGCAATTCCTTACATCCCAAAAACAGATGTAAACTGCTTTTGATTAAATTAATTTACCCTCTTAAAAACTTGAATTAAGAGTAATTTTCAAAAGGATAAAGAACCAACTGCAATCGATGAAAGGATATGACAGACCTATCAGTTCTCATTTTATTCAGTACTTTGTATGTTTAAGTTTAATCCACATGTAAACATGATTTTTACTTTCCTGCAAAACAAACAAATAAAGTCCCCCATGCACATGAAAATGCAAAAATATAATTGAAACACTGTCAACAGCATTTTAAATCAACAGGAAGCAATACCACTCTAACCCTAAAGCCATGTTGGTCATTCAGAAAGTTGAAAAAAAGCTGTTTCTTATTCTTGTTGGTTAACAAAAATGGTGCATGGAGGCAAAAGAGAGGACTAATCCTGACACCTATGTTCCTCATTAAAGAGGAAAAGTAACTATAGATTTATGCGTGAATATATCCTGCTAGCAAGGTTAACATCGCCTCTACTGTGGCCATGTCCGCCACTGCACAAAATTGTCTCGTAAACAAAATCAAAAGCTGTTCTGCCTACATGTCAACAAGGCAAACTGTTTCTGAATGTCTTCACACTGGAAGGAGTTTTTAAAAAAAACTCAGTTTTCAATGACGTAAAACTTTGCATGTGAAAGAAAGGCCAAAATGAAAAGAAAAAGCTATCCGTTAAATAATACCTCTGTGTGTGTGTGTGTGTGTGTGTGTGTGTGTGTGTGTGTGTGTGTGTGTGTGTGAGAACAGGACTCATACTAAATACCTGCCACTGAATGAATGGCTGCAGACACACTCACAATTCTGCAACAGTTTTTTTTAAACTGAAAAAGCTGTAAACATTTTTTATTTTTTTACAGAAACAGTTAATAGAAAGTTATTAATACAAGCAACAAAGTGCTGCTCAACATTCACCAGACTTCCATCTTGCCATTAACTTTTCAATAAAAGTGCAGTGAATTATTATTATTTTTTTCAACATGGCATCACACTACAAATGAAAAATTGCCTGGATGAATAAAAGGGCTTGACTGGGCTGTAGCTTCTGTTCTCTAAAGTTCTCAGATTAGTGCTTTGCAACAGACAATGGAGTAACAGGGTGGAGATGAAGTGAAGTGCTGAACATGGCTGACTAATCAACAGCCTCAAGGCCCATTCAATACTCATTCAGAGGCTGTTGTTAATATCAGCATTATGACTATGGATCATTGGTTTAACGTTGATGTTTAAATACCAGTTATGCATATGTTTTCCTGAGCAGTCAAAACAATTTCTGAAGGGGTGAGAAAAATAGAGGAAGGGAAAATTGAGCATAACTATAATAGCTTTTTGTTTTTTTCAAATTTGCATACGTCAGTAGGGGAAAAAAAGATCACTATTTTAAAAACAGGTGTCCTCTCTTTTTGTGTTTTTCCAATCTGTCTGCATGTCTGCTTTCCAATATCTTTTCAAACATTAGTCACGCAACAAAGAACACAATGACTGTGCTAGCTTGTGCGAAACTCATGCAAAAGTTACATTTCAGACAAAGCCACAGCTTTTTAATTTGTCTAATTATCACAGTCAGTTACGTGCAGTGAGAATGGAAACAGTAAAACAGAGAAGGAATTTTTAGTGCCTAATTTTAAATTCTAATCCTAGAAACAAATTAACAACAAATTTTCCAACTAAACATTTTCCCAACAATGAGTATGCTCACTTACAAACAAAACATTAAATCATTCTTTATGTAAACATCTGCTTTTTAAACTAAATGTGCTCATTAGCAGTCTAAAGAAGATTGTTTTTGTCCAAGTGCATCAAATTCAATCTGTTTTCATTTCTACAATCTGGCTGAAAATTGTGGATTGAAATCTTACATTTTTACAAAGAAGAATATCGAGAACTAGTATTTATTCATGTAAGCATGAACTACAAGTTTTTCAGTCGATCCTGGCTTGATATAATACTGCAGTGTGAAGTACATTTAAGCCTCGGCTAAGAAAATGTGAGAAAAAAATAAGAGTGATGGAGTCGAAAGGGATTTTTATTGTAGCAGGGTTTTTCCTCTATAGGTAAATTTTTTGCCCTTCAAAAAGGTTTTAGATGCTCCCCAAAGAGGTTTTAACCAGCGGCAAAGAAAACATACCAGTGTGAAAAAGGTAAGAACTGAGAAAACCTGTTTTGATAATTTGGGTTTTCATTTAGTCAAGTATAAAAGACATTTCTGTTTATCAAATGGTCGCAAATGAAAACAAACACATTGACTTCTATCAAATGAGGTAACATAGACTCACTGCCTTTCCTGTGCAGGGAGCGATCGTGCTTATTGACATGAGTAGTCACCCCCCAAAGGCTCATTCTGCAGCAGGAAAAACCCTGTGCAGCATCACCGCATGCACAATCAGACCTCCTACTGACTCAGTTATGCATGTGGACCACAGCAAGTGCTCATTCTTTGGCGTTACGCCTTAAAAACACGTCTTTATGTGCTGGAGGCAAACTGGTGGAGCATTAAAAAATAAAAGAGCATATTATGGTTTGGGATTTCATGCACAGGTTTACCTTGGATTAAATAAAGCAACGAGTCCTGGTGATTAATCCAAGTTAAGCTTAAAATTGCGGTTCTTAAAAATGATGATGGGAAGTGAAGGTACCTGAAATGTCTGCATAGTGAGACAAATAAAGGGCATGACGGACTTGGTGCTCAGATACTTTCCATCAGGTAAGATGGAAGTAATGACTAATAAACAGTGTTATGAAAATGACAAGAAAGAAACGTCCGATGTTAACATGATAATGCAAATAACTTCATCAAAGTGGCAGATTCTCTTTAGAAGGATGCAACAAGACTAGATTTTAGTTGTGTTACATGTCGGAAACAGAACAGAAAACTGCTCATCCGCACAAACATTGAACAAAGGGGCAATCACACATTAGACACAGAAGGTGTGGTGAAAAAAAGCACCAAACCAAACACAAACATGTAATTAGATCTCACAGAAGCCGAGCGTCGACTGAGCTACTCTGCTGTAAACTTGTTTAAACTCTAACCTGTGAGTGAAGAGGAACTCAGTCCCTGTGCTTAACACTGATTTTCCACGCACAGCTGATCAGAGCTGATCAGGTGTAAAATCAGCTGTTTGGGGTAGGATATAGCGTTTCTCCTGCCACTTTCCTGCTACATTCCTTCATGTTATTCTACCCTCTGCTTGCTCCTCTCCTTCCCCCTTGTTGCCATCCCCCACCTTTACACAGCGAAGACACGTACTGATAGATGAGAGCTGGGACCTCTGCAAGAGAGGCAGGTGCTGCGTTAAATTGTTGCCCTGCAGCTACAGAAAAAAAAATCCAGAAGAAAAAGGAATTTCAGATTAAACATAAACCCTACACAATACAAATAAGTCCCCCAGGGCACTAAACAGTGAGCTGCATTCTAATGACTCATGAAAGAGGCACACCTCCATGGCTGGAAGAGGAGAGGGGGGCAGGGGTGATGGTGGGTTTGCCCACCACAGATTTTCATCTAAACAGACGCTTGACTTGCTAATAACGACTGGGGCTTGGTGATTGGCAAGCTGCCACGGCAGCGAGCTCGAAGCCCCACACGGATGCTGCCTGAGTTGCTGGCGTGCCAATCACCCCACCACGCCCCTCTTTGGGTGCAGAGGAAAGTGGGTGGTGGGGGTGGAGTCATTAATCACCAGTTCAAGAGAGCACAGGCCCCCTAGGGGGATGCGCAGGGTAACATTACTCAGCTCCTTGAACAAAATTTTTATTTGCTATTTTTTTCCACCCTGGCTGGACAACGACATTCCTGCACTGGGAGGGGAACATGCTCATCATCTCTGAGCAGCAGAACTGACAAGGATACGTCCCTTAGCACAGGTCAAACAGGAGGGAGCTCATATATACAACGGTTTACAAAATGGAACACATTGTTTTTACTGAATACAGGGCTGCAAGACAAAACTGAAATTGTTTTCCTTAACAAAACTATTCATCTTTCCCACTAAGATTATGTAAGACAAGCACCACTTGGAGCAGTTGTACAACCACCAAATATCAGCATTTGCAAGAGTAGGCATTGTGTCTTTCCCAGTATAAAATACCAATGCTTCTGTAATTTCCTTCCACCAGTAACCGGTGTTGTCATATGGGGTGAAACTGGAAGGTGAAGTCTGTCTGTTATAAGTTGTCACAAGAATCGAGCTCTCAATCCAGGCTCCAAATCACAATCTCACAGGGGCCACCCAGGTCAAGCACAGCTCAGGCTAAAATAAGATCATATCAGCACCTTACAGACAACATCGCAGACAACAACAGATAAACCGGCTTCTTTACTGACATGTTTAACTGCTTTGTGCCACATTTGCACAACTGTCCCAGGGAAATTCCATTGTTAATATGAAAGTTGAAAGTAGATTCTATACTTAACAACATGCGGGATTTACCACTATGAGTCCCATCAACTCAGAATGAAAGTAATCTCAGACGGCACATGTAATTATTAAGGGTACAAACTGACACATTTAAAAATCACATAGAATTCCAGTCTACTATGTGTTATACAAAGACTGTGTTGTTTTTGGTGAATCATTCAAAGAGAAATCGAAGCTTTCTGCATGGCTTCATAACATAATTTATGTAGAAACGATTGGAAAGAAAGTATAACCATTAACAAAACAAATATTACTAAAATGTCTATAACTGTATTGTTTCTGCAAAAGACACCAAAAAATTGTTTTTGCCATAGCCGGACACAGGCTGATAAGTAATTGTCAGTGGTGTGAAGTAACTAAGTATATCTACTCAAGTATTATATTTAAAAGCAATTTTTAGGTATTTGTACTTGAGTATTTCCATGTTATGCTACTATACACTTTCACTACATTTCAGAGGGAAATTTTGTGCTATGTACCCCCACTACATTTATCTGGCAACTTTAGTTAATTCTGATACAAAAATTGTACACAATGGAAGTATAACAAACTTTTAAAAAATAAAATATTGGTAAAGATTAAACTGGGAGCTTCCAACTTTTTTGGCATCTCACAAAAAGTAGTGTGTATTTGGGCTCACATTTCAGATGTCTAAGAGTTGTTTACAGCTCCAATACACAAGGATCTTTCACTCTACCCACATGGTTTAATTTCAATAAATGTTCCAGTGTTCCAATATCTCTCCTAAAATCAAAGACTACAGAAGAAGTCCAAAAACTACAGACAGATTTGTATAACATAAATTTGTTTTCTCTTCTTTTCTCTTCTATTAATCATGTGATAAGCCCTCAGATTTATCTGTCGTTCCTGTACATAAAACTGGATATAAAGTAGTTCCGACCTGCAGCTGACACACTGATGATTCACTAATAATAATCTCATGATGACATATATCATAACATATCAGTCTGAGGGACTAAACCAGAACTTTTACTTTAATGCAACATAGATGTATTGTGCTCTTTTACTTTACTTACATTGGAGTAGTTTTACATTGTTGAATTGGTACTTTTACTTATGCAAAGGATCTGAAGACTTCTTCCACCAACGTCGGTTGTACAGATACATGTGAAAATGAATGGGGTCATATGAGCAGGTCATGCAATTTTCACTGTTCTCTCTACATATTTTTTGGTCATTGTGGGTCTGAGGCAGCAGGAGCTGCTTGTGAAAAAACAACAAAAAGTAAGTGTTTTCCATAGTAACCTACGTACTTACAGAATGCATCTCATCTGGCTCATGCATGGTTATGCAGTCCATGCTGATCTGAATGGTGTTTCCTGTAGATCCATCTGTTGGCCTCTCAGTGAAATTCAGCTCAATGGGCTGGACTGAGTGAATAGCAGATCTGAAACACATACAATATAAGCACCACTGACAAATAATCTATATGCACACTTTTTTTGTCAGCCACAAAAAATTGCTAAAATCTGTGTGGGTTTTTTTGCCCTTTTTTTGAGTATTCACTTACTGGTCCAGCATATCAAACAGTTGGTTGAATACATCTTGGCTGAAGAAGTCACTTGTCTGTGCTGACTGATTCTGGGACATGGTGGTGAGGAATGAGCTCTCTCTCCAGGACAAACAAGATGAGGGGTCCCTGAGTCTGCAAAGACACATCATCAATCACCTACTATAATTATACATATTCCAAATAAGCAATACTTACTTTACTGTTGGCATTTTAAAAAAGGAACAACTATTTTAATGGGTAGTTTTAAAAGTTGCAATGTCAGCAAACATTGAACATAAATGTTGATGGGCAGGGCTGACATTTGGCCACCCAGCCAGAGGAGGAAAGAAGGAGGAGTTGTCCTGCTGGCAGCCATTCATGAAGAGCACTTCCATTGTGGAGAAGTCAGCCTGCATAATACTGCATATTTGTACTACACATAATGGTGATTATGCACCATTCAGACAGAGGCACTTTGACCTGCTCCCTTGAAACATTACACCTGCTTCAGAGCTCAGCCTGCCATTGTTCCAGCTGAAGTGGCGCACGCTGCACTCTGAGACGGGCGGAATTCCCCCCACAGTCTATATGATAGTACTGCTACAACTTCTGGTATGTGTACAGCTGGACGAGCTTGGGAGGGGGGCTGATGGGGCGGCCATAATCTGAAGCTGGCACTATTTTAGGTTTTGGAATTCCCCAGCACTGCGTGATGAATGATATTAATACCTGACTTACAAACACAGGCATATCTAATGAAGAAAATAATTTAACTTATGCAGGAGGCAGACATGAGGGAGTGTAGAGGGATTTGATGAATTAAACATGCCTTATGTTTGCAATGCTAAGGCAACATTATGGGTCAGATGTCATAAATTAGGCTGACAGATGATTAAAAATTAACTTAATTTAATATATTCAAATGCTTTGGCAAAATTAGGACAATGTCGAAGCTTGAACGGAACAGTGGCGTTGTTAGGCCTCAGCATCCAAACATTTTATGAACAGCCCTGGATCTCCATATTTTTGTTTGTTATTTTTATTTTATTTTATATTTTTTTAACAAAAGTAAGACCAATTTAAAAAGCCTTCAGATCTATTTATCTGTCATTCTGATCATGTGTTATAACCCTTGGAAAAATTATGATAGAGTTGATCGAAAATTGTATTAATTCTGCTGTTTCTAAAACTCTGATCTGTTTATGAAAGTTAGGTATTTTATTACAGCAGGATATCTGCAGCACTGACATTATTGTGTGTATGGATGCTTCTCTGTAATTACATGTAAAATGTGACCTCTTATCGATAAAGTAACTTACAAAATATGACAGCAGAACATTTTATTCTTTATTATATGTTACTGTACTGGCATGAGGTACCATTAGGCAACAGAATTTTTGTCAGCAAAATCCACAGTAAACTTGCTCTGACTATCATTTGCTATATTTTTGGGTTAATGTTTTAGGGGACTTTATGGGGGAAGTTTTTCACCAAATGTATTTTAAATAAAATTTGTGAAAACAAGTATTTCCAAGGCACACCTTAACATTTATTGCTTTGTAAATGTCACTGTGCACACCCTGTGATAGCACTGTGGAACATAGACTACACATAGAAAGAAAGGGGCATGACCTTACCTTGCCTCAAGCACAGTGTCTTACATTTTATAACATTATTTACTCTGAAAACGCTTAAAAGTGGTGCAATTATCAGATCAAAATCAAAAGAATTTTGGGATGGGCTAAACTCCAAAAGTGTCAAGACTGTAACAATACATCTGCTGATAAAAAGGAGCAATGATTTACAAGTAATGGCAATATAGGTACAAAGCAGCCTGGCATAAGTTTGAAGCTGAGGTGCGTGTTATTTTTTCATCCTTTGTAGCTTGTCAAGCATATTGATGAACATTTGTGAATACTAAAAATAATTAATTCTATTCAGTATCATATTTATATGGTCCAAATATACTCAAACCTCTGAGTAGGGTAAAGAAGAAGAATGCAAATATATGCATTAAAAATATTTCATTACTACAGAGCAAAGCCATCATAGACATTAGATTATAATAACTTTATTTATATGGCACTGTTGAAAACAAGGGGTTTACAAAGCACTCTGACAAACAACCAAAAGCAGGATAGTAAAGACAACAGAACAACTACTACAATCGAGTTAAAACTAAAAAAGTATAGACAAAATGTGTCAATAGTTACAAATTATTAAGTAAAATGTTTAAACAAAAAAAAAACTTAATGGTTAAGTCAAGTCATCACTATAACCAGGTTGCATTTTAAATACAGCTGCTGAGCCAATGTGCTTTCCAAAAGAGAAATAGGATTAACATTATAAACGTAGCTAACAAATTTAAAAGTTTTTGAGACCATGCTGCATTTTTAATAACATAAATGTATCTGGATAGTTTAAATACAAAGGATAGGACAATTTTACATGCTTTAACAAATTACCTGACTTAATTAGACAGCTCACTAATGTCAAACCTTGTTGCATGGAAAATGTAACGGAACGGACTGAATGTGTCAGCTTGTGTTTCGTTGCTTCTGCTAACTAACAAATATGTCTCTTCATAACAATGGCCAGTTCAGTAGAACAGCTAGTTTGAGACGTTTTGTAACATCATGAAAAAGAGATATTGTGGCCAAACTATTTTACATTTTCACAGGGACTCAGTTACTTAGCAAACTTAAAATTTGCTGAGCAATGTTTTGAGCTAGCTAAGACAGAGTAAGCTAACTCGATCCTTTAGCAGCAGCTAGCCGACGACTCTTTACTGCTGCTGGTAATTTTAGCTGCGCTCCCTTCAGCTAGCCTCAGTATTAAATTTCTGCCTTTGCATCTCTCCTGCACAATTAGCCTGCTGGAGTTCATCTGACCTTCAACTTCAAATACACTCGGAAACTAAAGCTGTTTCAGCAGTTTCTTACCGTCACTGTTTCACGTGTTTCAATCCCGTTTGATTTAGTTCAGGTTGCCGTCAAAGTCCTTGATAATTGTCATGGCAACCACAGAATCTCGCGGGAGCACAAGTCACAAAAAGATCGCTGCCTGTTTGTTTTACTCATATGTAACACGGAAAGAAGACACGGATATATATGTATATATAATTTAAAGCTTTTATTTGTTTATTTATTTATGTATTTATTTATTTATTTGGCTCAGCAGTTTTCTTTGGAATGAAATAGAGGCTGCTGCACATTAAACTGTTACAGCCTGTTTAATTTCACTATTAAGTCTTTTTTCAAAATATTACAGTAGAGGATGAGAAGAGTTGTAGAATGAAGGAATTTTGCACATAAGTCCATCATGACGAAAACATTTTTTGATTATTCACTCCCTGTAATAAATAGTTCACAACACAACTCGCTGCATTACTTTTGTGTAACTCTGCAACATTGCATGAGATGCATTGTGAAATAAATACCCACATATCAGCACAAATCTAAATCCTAATACAGAGGACGTACCTACCTATATTTGTGCTTTAGTAAAGTACTACCACAAAACCGGCTTGGTGAAAACCGGCCCAGAGAGCACTTTACAGAAAAAACTCATGGTGAGAACAAGGCTCAGATGCATGTCTAACAGAGCTAAGTAATCTATGCTGCTTAAATAATAGTTGTAATTGCAGATTATAGAGGTTACATTACAGCATACAGACAAATATAATGTGATTACTTTGGAACATGGTGGCAGTCACAAGAAAAACAGCAAGTCATAACAGATGACTTAAAAACTCTTCAAAAAACAAACACATTGCAAATGTAACAGGTGTGGTGTCGCCTCTGTTCAAAGAGGAGGGAGGACTTAGGTGCAGCCACTTTCTGAGTCAGGTCAACTGCATTTGAGTCTGGCATTAATGTTCCTTTAAAACAGGCTATTTGGCAGAACTAGTTTAACTGTCTGACACCTCATCAACTGCCCAAAAGACTTTTGAGCTTTGTTTCAGCATTGTTTGTTGACCAGTCAGCTTCCAGAATATAATCACCAAAGTTGTGCTTCAGGTTCAGCGCTTATGACCGTTTAAGCCTATAAATACATAGTGAATTATTTTCATAGTAAAACTGTAGCCTAAACATCTTGATGTCCGGCACACATAAACATGTGTTTTTAGCAATGGTCAAATTTTCTAATAATATAAGGCAACAATATGCACTTTGAAATGCATGGAAGGCTTTTCTTATTTTAACATTTAAAACGCTGTGACTTTAGTAGATTACCAGTAAACATCAGTAAATGGAAAAATGTGAAAAAAGTGGATTTTAATACTCAAAGCATGATCTCATTATTGCACATATAAACACCATACAGTAATAAAGGCTTAGTTGTAAAAAAACTAAAAAATAAAAATAAAAATCTTTTATTCCTCTTTGTGTCCTCATTTAGCTGTTCCGTTTCACTAAGACAACATTCTGTTCGATGGGTTTGTCCCTTTTCTGGCTGTTGTTTGTCTGCTGTTAGGTGTCTGGTTACTCAGAGAGTTTTTCAGTTAGCCTGAGGCAAAGGCTGTTCAGCATCCACTTAAACACAGCGCAGCGCCTCCAGACGAGACTGGGGCAGAGGTCAGCACTAAACAGGGATGGCCATTGTCTACTGGCAGCTTGGGCACACCGACCGATGAAAATGCAATCAAAACAAACAGCCCAGCCGATCGGGGCCCTTCTCCAGTGTCTTTATTAATCACCCGTTCAAAGGCCTAAGACCCTCTCCCCCTCATCTGTCAGTCCCGGCTGCAAGAGGGACATGACTGCAAAACAATAGAAAGCCCCCAAGTTTCTCCTCCTCTTATCCCTTTACTTTTATAGAAGCGAAACAGTCTGAAGTCAAATACTCTGGGGCAGGAGGACAGGCACAAATTCCTTTAAGGTTTGGAATGCAAAGAAAACAAGGCAGGAGGGGAGAATTAGTGGGCCAACAATGATACCTGGATACCTGAGAGCAGAAAGCACCACCACAAAAAATTAGCTAATGCTAAAAACTCTGCTCAAAAACAGATTGAAGCACCGCCGCTAACAGGTTTTATGTGACAACACCCTGGAAGGCATTTTAAATGTGTAAATCTTTTTGTTCAATCAATGAAAGAAACTTGATACACTGATGATTTTAGCAGTGCTAGAAAGAAACTACATACATTTACTGAAGTATTGTACTTAAGTACATTTTTTAGTTACTTGTACTTGACTTCAGTATTTCCATTTTACTTGATACTTATACTCCAATACAATTCAGAGGTCAATATTGTACTTTTCATTCCGCTACACTGCTTTGACCACATTTCATTCAGTTGTAGATTTAGTTAAGTTTATACAGCAAAATAAAATAAACAAATTTAATATGATGTAGTGTAGTTTAACATAAAACTTTATTGATCCTTGAGAGGAAATTCAAAAGCTGTCCAGCAAATATAAAGTAATTAAATCACAGTCACCAGCTCCAACATTGAAGTGATGAACACATTAATGAGCCAATATTTAAAATCCAGTAAGATACATTATTCTGAAATAATTCTCTCTGCATCATCAGTACTTTTAATTTTAGCACTGTAACTATATTTTGACAGGAATGCTTTTGTACTTTACTTAAGTATAACTTTTAATGTAGGATTTTTTTCTACTTTGTTTTTTTTTTTTTTTTTTTAAGTATAACTTTTAATGTAGGATTTTTTTCTACTTTGTTTTTTTTTTTTTTTTTTACTTTCCCTAAAGATATAATAAAAAATAAATAATTCTGCTCTGGATTTTAAAACACACTCAACAAGAAGGACACTTTGAGAATGACTTCAAACTGTCAAAAAACCCCCATGCAAAACACATTGGATCTGCATACAAAATGGAAGAAACTGCACTTAAATAATGTGTACATACATAAACAATGAAAACGTACATTTGAAAATCATAGATAGATAGATAGATAGATAGATAGATAGATAGATAGATAGATAGATAGATAGATAGATAGATAGATAGATGACTATGATAGTTTATGTGCATATTTATTGGATTGTTTTATTGCACATATAATTATTAGTTTTTCTGCTTGTATTTCCTTGTCCCATAATTCCCATAATTAGTTTTTTTTTTAATGCAAGTCCTTTGGTTTGTTTATTGTCTTAGTTCTTTACTGTATTCTGTTTTAACTAAATTAACCATCTCATAGCCAAAAAAGCATCATAATGTTCTCACAGACTGTTAATATTTTGACTTTGCTAAATATATAGAGAACATTTATGGGGTAAAACAGGCAAAGTACAGTATTGTGCTGAATTAAAACCATCTGATCATTTTCTGTCATCTGACATTTTTGAACCCAAACATGTGCCCTCATTGACCCAAAAATCCTTAAGAGTAAGGATCAAAATAAGACCTCCGGATGTCATGTAATCTGTCTGCCATCAGCCCTGATTGCCCTTTACACATGCATTGTTGCCATAAGTATGCCACACTTATAAATATATCAGCACCGAGCGACAGCAGCTGAGGATCCAGGCAGACACGACTGTTCTCAGGTCATTTTGGACCCTCAGACAGCATCAGCAGGTCAAACAAGAGCAGGGAGATTCCCAGCCAGTAGCTTTGATATTCTTGACTAGATTTAGTTATAAATGCTAGAGAATATAGCGGAATACAAATCTATGCTAAATCCATGCAGTAAATGTTGTTTAGGGTGAGTTTGCATTAAAAAAAATAGCTAATGAGATCAGATAATATCAAGAAAATCATCACTTTAAAACAGCATGTAGGTACTTACCGGTGAAAGGGAAACTCTGGGTAATACTGCACAGCTGTGTAAGGTGAATTCATGTTGTCATACCAAACTTCACTCGTGCTGAAATCTTCAAAATGACCAGCTCGTCATAAATGTATCAATAACTGTGCTTGAGCTACAAGAACAACTACAGTTAATGAAAAAAAAAGAAGTAATAAAATATATATATTATAGAAATAAATAAACAAACAGGCCTGGATTAAAGTGCCGGAGGGTACAGTGCAGAGTGGAGAAAGTTTGAGAGATGTTTTGAATTTAGGTATTTTTTCTTAGGCTACGCTACAAATAGGAGGGGCCTGTGCCAGCTATCTGACCAATCCCCTGCTACAGTTGTACAAGATATCACTCACTCTCAGTTGCTAGGATATAGATATCAAGCAACTACATTTGACCCTGCAGCCCCCTCCGACCTCCCTCCACTAACCCACACAGACAGCCACTCTCCTGGAAAACCTCCCCCCTGTACCCGACTCCTGCATGTGTTTCTCTGGCCTTGTTCTGATATTTCCACCCAGATTCCACCCAGCGTTTTTTTTGTCGCCGAGGGCACGTCTGTTGCGTCACGCTTCTCACCGAGGCCCAAGAGGGTTCGGGCATTTCCATAAATACTCTCCAAATGGCAGAAATAGTTGAGTCTGTGTCAATTCAGCAAAAAGAAAACTGTCAAATATTTGATTATAAGGAAGCGAAACAAGCCTTTGGATCTCCTGAGACATATTTAAAAAAAGTCCTATTAAAGCTTGACTGGACATAAAGAGAGACCAGATAAAAATAGTTTATCTTTACAGTAGCCTACATAAAATCTTATTTAGGCGCGTAAAGATATCGTGCCACATCCTACTTCCAGTCCCACCTCCCTCTCACCAGGCAGTATGGCAATGTAAACCTAGAGGTGTTGTGTGGTTTTTAGAGATGAGCAGGAGATGAATCAGCATGCTAAAATAAAGGTAGGGTCACAGCAGGGGGAATGATAATAAATAGATGTGGTGTATCCAGGGAACACAAACCTCTAAGCTGGTCTCTTGTACTTTTAATAAAGACGTGCAGCCTCTCTCCCCCCACCGAGTGCCAACTGTGCACCTGTGATGGGCAGCGCTCAAGCAGCGGACTCACAAACTGTGTGCCAACCTGGTGACGAGACACTGTGATCAAACACAGGCTATTTGTAAGATGCACATTTTACAAAATAAAAGAGGTTTCATATTAGGATTGTCACATTCAGCTAAGAGCTCATAAAGGACGCAGCACAGTCTTTAGTTTGATGAAAATCTAAAGCTGCACATCTGCATGTATCCATATTGTTTTGGTGATGTGAAAAGGATTACACACTCATTCACGAGTCTCCTGTTCACATCTATCAAAGCCTGAATCATTTGACAGTCAGAGTTTAACTTTGCTCAGCTTTGTGTTACAAAAGTATTTAGCTATTTACTGCAGAGATGTGACACCGTGAGGTATTTTTGGGTAGAGAGTGAGTACGTTTGATTTTATCTCCCTCAGTCCTGCATGGAAAAATGCAAACATGGCTCAGTTTTATCTGCAACACGACGTCATCCAACAGTCATATATACACATGTACACATTCCTGGATGTCACTTGAAAATGTAAATATAGAACTTCCACTATTTATCTCACAACTATCAAAAAGTTAGATTAGTACTTCTCAGACTTGGAAAAAGTCTAAAATTGGATTTGCTACGTTGCTTTCCGCTGGTACCTTAAAAGACATTGATGCAAACGATGTATGTTTTATTGTACAGTTAGTGAAAGCAAAAGGCTCTGCAGGCCATCACAGCACCGTGGTCATTCACTGTCTGGTGTCTGAGGCTCGCAGCTCACTGTATATGTCGCCTTCTGTTCGAGATGAATAGTTTGGAGGTAGACTGGCTTAACAGGTAGGCCTGTACAAACAGCATGACCCTGTTGTGAGCGACCACAGACCCGTGGAAAGAGAAGCTGACCACAAGCTTAGTGACCACAAACACAACAAAAGCCCAGCAAAAAGCTACGTTTAATGGCTTTCTAGCAGCCGCTTCAGATAATACTTTGTGTTTTCCAGGGTTGCTGCATAGAACAATACACCTGAGAACACATGGAGTATAAAAGCCGATATGCATTTTTATAACTCGACCACCATCTGTGGTGGTCTGACCATAGGAGCTTCAACAAGGCTTGAGACTGCTCTGTGGCACGACAGGGATTTTAGCTGAATGCTAATGTTAGCGGGCTAAACTGCTCAAACTGCAAAACAAGAACATGGAACACAATAAATGAGTCAAGTTTATGACTCAAACTGCTTCCTTAAATGTTAATATGCAAACTGAACAACACAAAAGCAAAGCTTCAGCAGGCCGAGGATCATTTACTTATTTGCTGCATTATAAGGTTGGGAGAGAATCAACACTAGGAGTAACAGGGGTGAAAGTTTCTTAAGTGCCGTAATGGACCATCTCTGTTTTGTTCTTATTTTGTGCTTGTTTTTTGGGATAAAAAAAAATAAAAATTTGGATTGTTTTGTCTTGTTTTTTTTGTTTGTTTTTTTAAAAAAAATCCCTGTCTGGGTGTGTATGTTTGGATAAATTGATATGTAAAGCACAAGACATTTATTAGTCATAAGTATGTAGAATTTGAAGAAAATTGAAGAAAAAATAATAAAAACTTAAAAGTGAAAAATATCCCAAAATGAAAATGCTAACACGCCTTTGAAATTATTACTTTTTGCTTGAAAATATTTACAATGGCCGCCATTTTGATTTAGCATGTTCGCATGTAGGCTGCAAGGTGGACCGGTGGTTAGCATCATTGCCTCGCAGCAAGAAGGTTGCCAGTTTGCGTCCCGGTGAGGACACCTGTGATCTTTCTGCGTGGGTCCAAAAACATGTTGAGGTTAATTGGTGATTCTAAATTGTCCGTAGGTGTGAATGTGAGTGTGCTTGGTTGTCTGTCTCTAAGTGTAGCCCTGCAATAGACTGGCGACCTGTCCAGGGCCTGTCCTTCGCCCTAAGTCAGCTGGGATAAGCTCTAGCCCCCCAATGACGCTAGTGGGGAGTTGGCGGTGTATAGATAATGGATGGATGGATGGATGTTAGCATGCTAGGAAATTGACAAAGCGAAATATTGACACTGACGTTAGACCGACACTTCAGGTTTTACTAAAGCTATTATTTTTAATTTACTTTCAATTTTCAAAAATGTTGTTATATTATCTGGTGGCTCCAAATCTGTACAAAATGAATGAATGAATGAGAAACACATTGTAAAGCACTTTGAGTGCCGCTAAGGTAGAAAAACCACTATGTAAGTGCAGACCATTTGCAGTTGTTTTATAGAGGTGAAAACTTTGACCTGCTGGTGATACTACCGTCAGAGTTAAAAGATGAAAATAGTCATTAGGATCTATCCTCTGAGCACCATGAATGCCTGCAGAACTGTAATTCATCCAGAAGTTGTTGACATATTTCACTCTGGACCAAAGTGGCCGAACTGAAAGACAGAGTGCCTCAGTGACACTCATGACAGATTTTATTAGAAATGTGTGTAACTGTCCAGACTGCTGTTACTATCTTTGTATCTGTGATGACCGCTGGGACAAATCCTTAAAATAAATTATCATCATGTAGAAAATTACAGAGGACTTGGATGAAGACTTGTTAATTATCCAATGTATTATCAAATTTTCTGACAAGGAAAAGTTGATGCTGACCTGAATCACAACAGCAACAACTGTTTGAATGTCTAAGCAACAATTCCACAAGGTCACTGCTGGAAATATCAGGCGTCGTTAATCAGCTTGCACAGTTAAATAAAGTCTCCCAGCTGAAAAATAAACGTCCAACTCTGCTCACATAAACACAGTAAAAGGAAAGAAGAAAAACAACCCACTAGTAAAATGTGATTATTATGGTATTTATACAACAGATTCCCTCTAATAAACCTTTCACACACACTTCAGCTTTGACCGCTTCCACCTCTCAACATAACAAGGACAAACTGACCTCAAGATGTCATTAAATCTGATATTTACAACGACATCTGAAACCCTTACATCATTAATTACTCTAAGGCTCAGGGGTAGGGAACCAGTCACCGAACACGTATTACTTCATTTTAAATGTATGTGAGTGTTTATGAGTTGGCGGCTACGTCAGTGACATCTCCGGTACTGTCATCAGTAGGAGAGCACACATGTCTAATGTGGTTATTATTCTCACAAGGCTCTGGTTGGAGAGCGCTAAACCCCCTTTAATCTGCAATTGTATCTGGAGTCAAAACCATAGATGGCAACCAGCCAAAGTGACTGTAAAGCCTAATATCTATTTAATTCATCTCGGTGTGCTCATTGTTCTGACAGCATTATACGGCCCCATTCACACGGCCTTATTAATGTCAAGAGTTTACATACGGGATGCCAGAGAGCAGTTGGTGAAGCAGCTGATGAAGTAGCGCCGACGTTTGCTGCACTGTATTATCAGTGTCAGTCACATACACCATACTGTGGCCAATCACTCTCACACTGTGAGGGGGTTATGTGGGCATACTTGTGTGCGTCGGTGTGTATATTCCAGTTGGTGACTAATGTAGGGGAAATCCAGATGAGTCAAAACTACCAGTGTCCGGTGCAGCGTCTGAGAGGTGATAATTTACAGCCTATGCACTAAACTGCCCAGCAACTTGGCATTGTTCATAACATCCCTATAGGGAAACTGCTATTTTAACTGACAATGTATTGGGGGGGGTTCAAAGAAATGTAAGTGAAGTGATGAGGGGCATGAATCCACTGTTCATACAAAACAACAAAATAAATCAAATTGCCTTCAGTGTAAATTCACTTCCTGGAGCATGGAATATTTTCAGGCTCATACAACCAGTCCGGCTCTTCCATAACAGCACTAAAGATAAACAGCCGCAGAGCATTTCCATGTAACCAGTAAAACCTGTATTTCTGTTGATTCACTGAATCCTTATTTGTCGAAATATTCAGACTCCCAGACAATTATCGATGCGTTCCCACGATGGGATCCAACTTTTTTTCATTTATGTCTTTTGTCACAGTGACTTTTACACCTGTGATCAGGTTGTTTTTGCGTTGGGAAAATCAATCTTGCCTGCAGCAACAAAAAGGCAGTAAGCCAGAGTTGAATAATCCTTCCAGTACAACTAACTTCAGTTGGAACCTGATTTGTCTGTTAGTTGTTTATGAGGAACCTGATCAGTTGTTGTGGTGAAGCTGGTAAGACAAAGAAAA